GGGTATGGCTAGGTAGAAACTACATGTAAAATAAGGCTGGGCTAGAATAAAGCTGGCCTTGTCCTAATCCAATTCTAGCCCTACTCTAGCCCTATCCTAGTTCTACTCTAACTTTATCAAGTCTCATTTTATACTACACTACAGCAGCCCCAGCCTAGCCTAAACCTATTTTTCACCCCAATCATAATCACATTTTCTACCCACCTACCAATAAGAATAATCACCTTTCCACCCCTCCCCCCCCTACTACATTATAACTTGTGACACCCACATCCGTCCTGCAACCATTACTTCTCCCCAATTCTTTTTTCGATCGTATGTCGCTGCGACGACATAAAACAAAAAAAACGCGTGTGTTTGATCGTACCGATGAAAAAATTGTAAACAAAAAGTTTCGCGCGAACAGGAAGCCGGAGGCTTAAATTTTTTTGGAAGCGGGGCGCAAGTGCAAGGGATCAGATAAGTCTGCGCGACACCCATAAAACAAACTTTTTGCGAATTTCGGATTCAAACGTGGGCGACAACGGCGACTTTTGCGGAAATTTATTGCATTTAGGGGTGAAGGAAGTTATTACAAGCTGGGGTGGAGACATTTGTCAAAAGTAAAAAGAAAGTTGAACTTGGTCCCCTCTGTTGATTTTTTAAAAAATTTGAATTTTGAAAAAATTTCAAAATTATTAAAAATTGTTAGTCTGACCCCACAGACCTGCCTAACCATGCTTGATAATAAAATTGCACATTCGTCCCTCCCCAAGCTCAAAAATATTTTTTTTTCAAAAAATTTGAACTTGGTCAACCCTGTTAATTATTTTCAACTTCTCAAAAATTTTTAAAAATCCAAATTGAAAAAATTGAAATGACTTCACAGATTGGTCTGACCATGCCTGTTAATAAAATTGCTGATCCACCCCGCCCTGGCTCTAAAAATTTTTTTTAAATAAAGTTGAACTTGGTACCCCTCGTTAATTTTTTAAAAAATTTAACTTTTGAAAAAAAAGTTCAAAATTGAAAAACTTGTTGATATGACCCCGCCGACCTGCCTGACCATGCCTGTTAATAAAGTTGCACATTTGTTCCCCCTATGGCACAAGAATTTTTTTTAAGGTTGAACTTGGTTGTACCCCCTGTCGATTTTTTTTGAAAGTTCAAGTTTTTAAAAAGTTCAAATTGAAAAAAAAGAAATTGAAATGACCTCAAAAATTGGTGTGACCACGCCTGTTAATAAAATTACTCATCCACCCTCCCTGGCTCAAAAAAAAATTTGACACCCCAATGAAACTGTAAAAATACATGTTAAACCTATAAAACAATCACCAGCGGGTCTAAAATCCGAATCCTCATTCCCACGGGTGGACAAGGCCCTAGGAGTCTCGTCTTCTCCAAAAAACATTTTTTTCAAAAAAAAATTAGCTTGGTCCCCCCCCCCTGTTAATTCTTTTTCAAAAAAAAATGTTTGATTAACTTAAAATTTTTAAATTATTAAAAAAAAATTTACAGTACTATATTACAGTATGTTTCATCACCCCCCCCCGTCGCAGTTAAATCACAAAATGTAGCAGGAAAAGCAACCTGAATTTGTCTATCCGTGTTGAAACTTGTTGGATTTCCGGAAAAGTCGCCCCAAATCCCTCCAAACATCCTCGACTAGAAAACCAGTCAGCCGGAGGTAGAAAAGAGACGCGCGAATGGAGGTCAGTGTGACGCTATTATTTGGGACATACCCTTCCCGCCCCTGCCCTACTCTACCCTGCCCTGCCCTACCCTACTCTACCCTACTCTACCCTAACCTACCATACCCTATCCTACCCCACCCTACTCTACCCTACTCTACCATACCCTTAATTCCACACCTCCCCTACCGTATCCTACCTCTATCCTTAACCCGAACTATCTACCTTTACTCCTGCCTTTACTTCTACCTCTTCCCTTACCCTTACATCTACCCCCTACACCTACTCCTACTAGCACCTTTACCTCCACTTCCACCCCTACCCCTAAACCGACTCCTAACCACCCCCCCCCCTTCCCATATCCATAAGCCTACCTTAACATCCTTTCGCCTTTTCACACCTCCAAAATTACCAGCCCGCGCCCGGTGACACAAAGTACAAACCCGTATATCTTACCACCCTTTTACCCGCGCCCCCCCCCCTCCCCCCCCCCTCTTTCCAATATGGGTCAACTGTTTCATTTTTCGTAAAGAGAAACCATTTCGTACCAGAATAATACAAACAAAAACCAGACACTTGGTTTTGATTTTTCGAAAAAAATCTTTTTAAATTTCGAACTTTTCGTTTCCCACAGACCGCCGCAGGGGAGGGGAGCAAAGAGAGGGTGAATACAAAAATGAGAAAAGACGGCGGGGAATCGAGGTCAAAACGAGGAAATATGTCGAAATTCGACCCGCTTAATGGGTAATTGAAGATTCGATACAAGGTAATTAAAAGAATGGCATGGGTGGGGTGAGCTTGAAATTTTGAAAAAAGCTTTTTCTTGAATCTGACTTTTTTAAAAATTTAAAATTTTTGCTCTACCTTGCTTTAGCTTATCCTACCATACCTGTTCTACACTACTTTACCCTACCCTACCCCACACTATCCAACTCAACCCTACCCTACCGAACTCTAGTCTACTCTACCATACACTGCCCTGCGCTGCTCTGTATTGCCCTACTCTCCCTTACCCTAGTGCACGCTGCCATCTAATACGTTGCCCTGCCCTATCCTGTCCTTTCTTACCTTATACTATACTTTATCGTACTCTGCCTTGCCTCTTTGTCTTGCCCTACCCTACTCTGCTTCACACTGTTGTCTTATACTATACATGATGAAATTGTAATTGGAAAACGTCAAAAATATTTAAAAAAAGCAAAAAAATGAAATATAAACATAACATAGCCTTTCATGTTTAACAAAAACTGATAAAGAGCTCTTTTTCATCTGATAGACAAATAAATATAATAATAATCGATGCATACATATTTGGAAAGTTCAAGGTTGTTAACTGATTTTCAACATTTTAAAATTGCTTAAAGATCATAAAAAAGGCAAAGTATGTATGTATCATCTAATTTTAAGTTAAAAAGGACATTTTTCCAAGTAAAAAACGGTCAATAAAAAAACTTTTACCGTCCTAAACTTGGCACTTTAAATTATAATGTATGTGCCAACTTAAAAATTGTTTACCCTTCCCATCCTCCCCTAAAAGAAATAATCCTCACAACTCCTGAAAAACCAATGTAATCCTTACGAGCCCACTAAGCCCGGCCTAGCCCAGACTGTGCCAAAAAAAATTTGAAAAGGACCGAGTCCGGTCGATCGAGCCAGAGGGCCGAGCTTAATGAAAGCTACAGAGGCCAATCTTAGGTCCCGCAACGAAAGATTTGAATAGTAAAACGTGTAAAATGAATATGATGTTAGTGCCTCTCTCATGACAATCATATCCTCCGTCCTCAAAGACGTTTTTCTACCCTACCACAACCCCTCCCTCTAACATTATTTCAACCCCCTTACCCCCCCCCCGCCCCAGCCCTTCCTCTCATTGTATAAAGCAAATTATAAAGCAACAACATATCCCACCCAAAATTAAATATAAAGCAACAACGTGCCCCACCCAATCTTCAACAAACCCTGTGGAGTGTTGTTGTTATCCGAACGAAAAACGACAAAGTAATTCGGACTTGTTTAAAAGAAGGAAGGGGGTATATATGAAAAAGGACGGTGCGAAGAGGTACCTCGCCTTCTTCTCCTTTCTTCTCACACGCGATGGCCTTGATTCTCGCGCTGGATTCGATGTAAGAATCTCTTACGAAATATGACATAAATTCGTTAAGTATTTTTTTGCTAAAATACGAGATTATATACTATGGTTTTCTATTATAAGCAGCAGTGTTATAGGTGCGGGGGGAATGCACAGAAATACGTTTTTTAATTAAAAAATCTAGGTTTTTTCCAAAAAATTTTTTTTTAATCCTCCCCCCCCCCTCCCCTTCCAAGAAGTGGCCAAGATCGCTGGAATGTCGTATGTTTAGCGTATCCTAACCTACACTGCTATATCTTACCTTATCTTACTCTACCGCACTATACCCTACCTTACCCTGCTCTACTCTACCATAACCTACCTTACTCTACCTTACTCAACCCTACCCTACTCTAACCTACCCTACTATACACTACCCTACTCTAACCTATCCCACCTTAAGCTACATTGCGCTACCCTAAATTACCTTACTTTACACCTACAATACCCTACCTTAACATACCCTATGCGGCTTTATCGTACATTACTCTACGAATCTCTACCCTACTTCACCAATACCCCCATGCCCAGTCCACATAGTAGTGACATGTAATCAGTATAAACCAAAATCGAAGTTTTTTCCCTCAAAACCCGATTGAATCGCGTTTTGTGCAAAAAATCTCTTTTCTTCGGGGCAAAAGGTCAAAAACCGGATTCCATTTCAGGAAAGCAGCAAAACATTCTTTAAAACATACAGCCTGAGGCTATTATGTCAAACAGCGGGAATTCTGGTTTGAACAAAAAAAATATTGTAAATGGCTTTGGATGACATTTTAATGGTTTCCTTTACCATAATATATCCTTCCTTAAGTTATTTTACTCTACACTACCCTACTTTACCGTACCCAAATCTACCTCGCCCCTTGCTTTATCCTACCTTAACCCACCCTGACTTGTCTCGTCTTGTCTATCCTTGCCTTGCGTTGCCTTGCCCTGCCTACCCTCCCTATCCTACCCTAGAACATGAATAATATAAAATTTCAAAGCCTAAAAAATTCAAAAAGTATTTTACTTACTTAATATAGTATAAAAAATAGTCTGCAAACGCCTCTTCTACTCACAAAATTAACTTTTGTCCGATTCAACCTTCGCACACAACAATATTTATTTGGTCCCGACGCGAAAACCCTGATTGTCAAGGCGAAAGAAATAAAATAATTTTTTATGTTTTCTGAAAGAAATTTTTATAAATTTGTACAAAAATGGTTAGAACTCGACGAACTGTAGTTAAAAAGAAGACAGAAACTTTTGATCTTTGGGATAAAGGTAGGTTTTATATTATACTAAGTTATTTTTGGAATTTTAGGTCAATATTTGAGGTTTTCTGAAAGGCTTTGGGCCCTTTTTCTTGTAAAAATGTGGTTTAAGTTTTTACTAATAAGTTCTGGACTAATATGATTGTTTTAACTTCAAATTTTATAGACTTCACACCCAAAGAAGCCAAGAAACATACAGATGGAGTGAACCATTACCTAAAAGAGACGAGAAAGGTTAATTCTTCGAGGAACAGCAAATATGTGCCCAGTCTATTGCCAGCGATCACTGCGCCTTATGCTGGAGCTTCATACAATCCAGAAGCAGAACAATACATGGTAATTGATCTGATTCTGTATTTTTAGTTTCAATTTTTAGGATTATGCTCAAATGATAGCAAAAGAAGAGAATGCAGAGATAAGAAGCGAAAACTGGGTAAAGAACAAGATGAAACTCAGAGATGGAGACACAATGGCCACAGTGGTATGTTTGTCATGGTTTTATATTGATTTTTGAGTTTAGAAAGAGGTAATCAAAGAAGAAGAACAAGGATTCTTGAGTGACGACGATGGTTTGACGGATATTGAGATAAAAGAAGAAATTGACGATGATGAAAAGCCAGTGATTAGAAAGCTAAAGAACAAACCAAAGAACATGAAACAAAGAAGGAAAGCGTTGGAGCGACGTCAAGAAGAGCTGGAAAGGTTGGCTAACAAGAAAACCAAGCAAAATGAGGCGGAATTGTTGAGGTATGTTAATATTTTTGGTTTTTTAGGTGTTTAGGTGTATTGAATGTGTAAAGTTGACTTGAATAGGTGCAGTAGGGTCTGATTGATGTATTTAAAGGTAAAAAATAAGAATTGTAAACACATTTGCGAGTTTACGACAAGTCATGTTGCAGTAGGTATTAACTGCCGTCTCAGCGTTATTCTCAATAATTTAGCTTGCAAAGTCGTTTTATAAAGAAGCTTGATGATTATTTAAGTTTATTTTTAAAATGAAATTACAGGATTTTCATAAATTTTGAGTTTTACGATCAAAAAATGTTATAGTAGGTATCACAAATACTTTTTTTCAAAATAAACTTTTTTAGAATAAAGTCGCATATTAAGAAGATCAATGAACAATTGGAAGAGCATAAGAAGAACGTTGTTGATCGTCGAAGAAAGCGAGTTTTGGCCAGATTAACGGGTAAAAAAACGCTTGGCCACGGAAAGTTCCAAGATTTCAAAGAGCCGGTTTTGTTGCCTGAAGAGATTACAGGATCATTGAGAGGATTGAAGTCGACTGGGACCAGCATTTTAGCAGGTATGTAGTTTTTTTAACATTTTTTTTATTTACTGCACGGCGAGGTGTTTTTTATATGATATAAGTTCTATATAGTTAAGTTTACTGATTTTTTTTGATATTGTAGTATTTGCAAACATTTTTTAATATATTCACTTTTTTAGAAAGACTCCGCTCAATGGAGAAGCGCAACATTGTGGCATGTAAATCAGACAAGAAGAATAAGGAGCTCAAGACCACATTGAAGTACAAGGTCACAGACAAACGTGAGATCAAGGAGTTTTTGGAAGCGGAAATGGCCAAGTTACCTAAAGTTATACAGCCAAAGAAACGGAAATTCAACAAAAAGAAGAAGAATCAGGTAAAAAAGGATGAATAATATTTCATTTTTGTTATTTGTTTATTGTTGATTGTTAACATGAGATAAAATTATATAATTTTAAATATTATATTATGCTAAAGGTTGATGAGCTTGTTAAGGAAAGCTGAGCCTTAAATACAAGGATAAGTAAACAAATATAGATTAATATTCGTACAAAAATAATAATTAAAAAATATTTAAAAAAGGACAACAGAAAGACTTAAAATTAAAAAAAACCTTAAAAAATTTTAAAATATTATAACTTGAAAGATTAGGTAAAGATATACAACAAACCAACGATTCATAAGTAGAGATACAAGTAAATGACCGGTATTGTCAGCAAAACAATAAATAAAACCATAAATATCCAATCCAAACGTTCGGCAATTCGAACATAGCCATTGCGTTCGGCCGCGTGCTCTTTTAAGTGAGGATCACTGGCTGTGATGGAACGCTGAAAATAAAAGTTGAATTTTTCAATTAAAAATCACATCAATTTACATTCAAACAAACTAACAATCTTAACAAATAATTTTAAAAAAAATAATTGCAACATTTCGATTTCAAAAAAAAATTTTTAAACAACCACGAACTATCTTCACCAGAAGGTCAACGTTTCGCGAGGACGTTTCGTGGTTCTTTAAAAAAGGTTTTTTTTCAAAATCAAAAAAAAAAAGAAATTTCTTACATGAACACCCTTCCAAACGTCACAAAGATTGTTCATAGCATCAACAATCGTGTGAAGTTTGTGATTCACATCGGAATCCACTTCCGTTAACAAGATGCGGTGACTTTTTGTGCTCAAAACGTCTTGAGTCCAAATGTCATCGGAGTTGCAGTTGTGGTTACTTTTGGTCGAAAATACTGGGCTACGAGGTTTTGGCTGAAAATTTTGGTTTTTTATTGCAGTATAGGTGCATGGATGAAAAATATAAGCTTATATTGCACTCTAGGGTAGTGTTATGGTCGAAAATGTGTTTTTTATTGAACTACAAAGATATTGCTAAAAAATTTTTTTATATTGCACTATAAGATAAGGTATGGCTTGAAAATAAAAAAAAACCTACAGAATGATGCACAGTTTTGTGAAACTTATAAGGTTGGAGTAAAAACACTCGTAGCGCCCATAATGGTGGCTCAGCGCCAAACCGCCCTTTTCTATGAATCCTCAATATCCATGCGGTTAACACTACAGCAACACTTAATATTACCATGTTGTACAAGAAGTAGGCCACTGAAAATTAATAGTTTAACTTTTTTTTCATTAATTGTAAGCCATGGTTTACATTATAATCCATCAATTACCTAACAATGGTATAGCCGTCGAGCTATGAGGCACTTTCTCCGACACCACTAATGACAAAACGGCGGTAGAAGTGGTAGTGATAGTAGCCATAACACCGAGAGTAAATCGTTCGATTCTTTCTGATGTTGTACTTGCTCTGGCGAATACTCCAATCACTGTGATAACACACATGACATACGAAGGTATGGTAACTGTTATAAAGTAAAATAAGGGCTTACGACGAACTGATATTTGGTAAAATAACTCATTTACCTAAAATTTGAAAAATATTTTTTAAAATGGCAATAATTTTCTTTACAAACAAAAATGACAAGAACTTTCTTACAAAACAAAGAATGGCAAGAACTTTCTTTACAAAACAAAAAATTACAAAAACTTTCTTTACAAACCACAAAATTGCAAAAACAGAGTTTTTCTAAAACCTACCACAATGCCTTCATGCTCGTATTTTTGTTTATGTACAGACACATTCAAAAGTTGCCACTCTTCATTTGGCGTATAATGTTGCAGATTATGTTCAACATGAGGTACTAGGCGTATTTTCTCTTCGCCGTAACTCCAGCTAGCTATTTCTAAAGCGCATTTTTGATCGTCCAATGGGAAGTGCTAAAGGTTTTAAATTTAAAAAAAGGCAAAAGGTCAGGCTGGTAGGGCATGTTATAATAGGGTCGTGCAAAGTCAATTAGAGTAGAGTATGGTACGCTCGAGTAGGGAAGGGTATGGTAAGGTACGGTAAGATAAGATAAAGTATAAAGGACAGGGTGGGTAGGGTAGGGAACGTTATACATAGAATACATAGAAGATGTTAGAGCAAAGTATTACCTACCTTAATATTAATCTCGCAAGAAACGGTATAAACGCTCGGGTGTGAAAACTCCACCGTGCCATTACTGTAGACTAAAACAGCGGCTTGAATCCCACTTAACAAACTCTCGTATTCAAGCCTAGAAGCCGAGATCCTGTAGTAAGTAGGGAAGGAAAACAAAACTTTTAGTAGGGATTAGTCACTTACATATTGATTATGATAATGTCAGGTCTCCAGATCTCTTGAACTGGTAGCCAGGTCTTATTGGTGTTGTTGAAGAGCTGAGGATCCCAGCGGAGCGAAGGGTCTGACCATTTCTGAAACTTTCAGTGTTATGACATTATTATAATAAGTTGAATATGATTTAAGGTAGGTTAGAATAAGGTGTGGTAAGATAAGGTGAGGTAAGGCAAGGTAGGATTGCCCACGATATGACAGGGTACGGACGGATATTGTAGGGTAGGAAAAGGTAGAGTATAGTAGTTTAGAGTAGGGTACCACTTACTTCATCCACATAAACTAAGGCGCTTAAAGTTTGTTTTAACTCGTCGATTTTTAAGATATGTACCAGTTCTAGTTCGTAATGTACATCTACCATATCATCGGGCGATGCTAACTTATTGTGTTGAGATAACAAAAATTTTGTCAGTTTTGACGATGTGCTTTCGTAATATTGAGGCCTAAAATGAAATTTGAATTAAAAAAACAACAAGAACTTTCTTTACAAAACATAAAATGGCAAGAACTTTCTTTACAAAACAAGAAATGGCAAGAACTTACTTTACAAAACAAAAAGTGGCAAGAGCTTTCTTTACAAAACAAAAAATAACAAGAACTTTCTTTACAGAATGAAAAATTGCAAGAGCTTTCTTTACAAGATAAAAATGGAAAGAACTTTCTTTACAAAAAAAACAACTTACTTTTTCAACCCAACATCACTACTGTTATCACCACTTCCATATCGTATCATAACAAACCCAAAAAGCACTGTAACATAGCGACATAACAGCATTTTGTCGCCCGCATCCACCGCCCGATTAAAGCCTGAATTTGCACGAAATTCTTGAGGTCATTAAATTGGCCCCCGGAAAGACAAAAGTTTTTTGATCGCAATGTTTTATGGCCACCGACTCGTTTTATGGGCTCCGCCTGATTTGACGTGTTTCAGGTAGTTTTGTCAAACGATTTAATGTGCTTTACCTGAAAACGAATCGAGTTGATAGTGGGAACGAATCAATGCGATAGTTAAGACAAAATTATAGGCCGAGGGTGGTATTTAAAGATATGTAGCCTAGAGGAAAAAACGTAATGAGGTATAGGTATTGTTTTTAGATTTTTATTGGGTATCGGAAAGTGCAAATGTTAGAACGTGAGAAATTAAAATCATGTTTCGTCTTACCCTACTTTCCCTAGATTGGCATATCTTACAATACCTTATCTTACCCTAGATTATCCTGGTCTACTTTGCCTTACCCTACCCTACTCTACCCTACCTTACCCTACCCTACGCTACCATATCCTACTTTTACCTAATACCTCACTTTGCTCTAAATTGTTATACCCGACCTTATGCTGTCCCACCTTACCCTACATTCTCTACCTTACTCTGTCTTACTCTACACTACCTTGCTTTACCTTACCCTACACTTCCCTACCTTATGCTACGCCCAGGGTTGGCAACAGAGCAGGGCATTGGCAAATTTATTTGGTTGCCCTGCCCTATGCCCTGCCCGGTACAAGGCATTTCAGTTCCGTGCCCTGCCCTGCCCTGTTGCCAACCCTGGCTACGCCACCCTACTTTATGCAACCCTGCCGGAACCTACCCTAATTTATATTACACTATCTTACACTGACCTACCCTGCATTACCTTATAGTAGTTTGCCCTGCATCACCCTACACAAGCTTACACTACCCTACTTTATTTTACGCTACGCAACCCTACTTTACTCATTCCACATTACATTGCCCTGCTTTGATTGTACCAAAAATTAATTCTAATCGTTTTACAGCAGCATTAAATCTACTGTAGATTACAGCTACTGTAAAAATGAGTGCTCTTAAATGAATTTAAATTAAAATTGGAAATTTTAAACATGCAAGAATGTTATAAATTAAGCAAATAAATTTTAAAAATAAAAAAAACGGATTTGTTTTGTTTTTCTAAAGATGATGTGAGCCGGAGGTTTAATCTTTAGGCTTCTCATCACATGGCTACTAATTTGAGAATAGAATATATACACCCTACTGATTTTTGGTATAAAAGCATAATTCAAAATTTGACATATTGAAAATTAACCTAAAAATAGCACCTTTCGTTGCAAACTTTGAACTCTCAAAGAATGTCTAAAACGTTTTCAAGACATTTAAGTTCCTGACGCCGTTCTTTTATTGCCTTTGCGTTAGGAATGACATTTGCTGGTCAAATCGGAATAAATTATACCAAGCTAATGAACTCGATGAGACTGGTTTGAGCAATAGGGTTATGGTTAAGGATTTGCGGTAAATATTTTAAATTTACTGTATTGTATCTTATCTTACACAGCCTGACCTTGCCTTGCCTTTGCCATGCCTTTGCCTTGCCTTTGCCCTGCCTTCGCCCTGCCTTTGCCTTGCCTTTGCTCTGCCTTTGCCCTGCCTTTGCCCTGCCTTTGCCCTGCCTTTGCCCTGCCTTTACCCTGTCTTTGCCCTGCCTTTGCCCTGCCTTTGCCCTGCTTTGCCTTGCCTTGCTATGTCTTGCTCTGCTCTACTTTGCTTGTACTGCACTACTGTGCCTTGCCGTGCTTTACCTGTTCTACTCTTCCCAGCTTTACCTTACTGTACCTGCTTTTCCTTATCATAACTGACCGTTGCTTCCCGCTCCTTTTCTTGTTCACTCCCCTCTTCCCTAGCTCAAAGCAGCCTGATGTAAAGATAAAACTTGTACAAAAATACAAAATTGACAAAAGCATAAACTGACTAATTTTGCATGTAAATCTCAGATTTGTTATTCCTTCCTTGGCATGTGTCTCTTACACTTTGTCTTATGGAGACGAATTTTCATAAATTAATATTTGAATGTGTTCTTTGGATACATAATAAAGTTTACTTGTGTATAATACAATAGTTAGTAATAATATAGAGTAGTTTATAGTGTAATTCATGTATAACAAATTTTAAAAAAACTACAAAGATTTTCTGTGCAGCGCAAAGAATGGCAAGAACTTTCTTTACAGGATGAAAAATGGCAACAACTTTCTTTACAGAATGAAAAATGGCGAGAACTTTCTTTACAGAATGAAAAATGGCAAGGACTTTTTTTACAAAATAAAAAAGAGCAAAAACTTTCTGTATAGATATATAACAGATTTGAAATTTTAATTTTTTTTACACTAAATCAATTCGAATCAAAACACATCTCTTCGATTCATCTTATAAAAAAATGTTGCTCTTCTCGAGTAAATTTATCTTGTTAATGTTTTCGGAGATCCACTTCGTTGTTTTTTTCTTCTTTTGGACATGTTTATGATTTTTTTTGTTACTGATCTTTGTTATATAATAATAAAGTTAGTTTTAACAATTTTTAGCAGTTTTATTATAATAGGTATCATACAACTAGACTGAAATTAAATAATTTTCTTTTTTTTTATGTTCAGAGATTAGATGCGATGTCTGTTCGTATGGTTTAAAACATAATTCGAGAAGCGTCTTCTTTAGGAGATAAACTGAATGTAGTTTGTATTACAAACTTTGTAACTTTATAATATTAAGACGTCATAAAAAATTTTGGCATTTATTCGGATCTAAGGTAGGCTCCTACACATATAATCCAAGGTATAGTAACCTCTATAACTCTCCAAACAGCCCTCAGATACTGTATAATAGATTTACCTCCACTATACATTCAACAATATATAATATAAACCAATAACGATAAAGATCCCAGATAAAGTATGTGACGTCCTTCGGACGTCCCAACTGTCTCGTGCCTGCTGATCAACTACTGGCTCCAATACTCCGCTCCAACTGTCTTGTTGCTTCACCGTCCTCTCCTTTTATCGTGCTGTCCACGTACGTGGTGCGGAATGCCAAGTGCTGTTCGTTGTCATTGCGGGACCCAAAGGGTGCGCTCGTGCTAGGTCCAACTATTTTTTAAAGTAAAAATTTTTGTTTTTTGCTGACGACAAGATTTTTTTGATACATCAATATTTTTTGAGTGTGAACTAAAAAATAATGTTTACTATAAACTAATCTATCTAACACTACCTTCTCTACCCTGCCTAGCCTAACACTATCATATCTTACTCTAGCCTACCCAGCTATAGCCTGCCCTATTTTACTATGCCTTACTTTTCCTTGCTTAACCTATGATGCTTACTTTTACCTTACCATGCCCACCCTCTTTTGCCTTACTTTACCCGCTCTACTTTATTCTATTCTACCCTACCTTACTCTTGATATTCTACAGTTTCATTATCCTACTCTGCTCGTTTCTACTCTGCTATGTCTCACTTTACGTTTTGATTCCTCATTGATATACCACGATTTCATCAGTTAACCTCAATCAATCCGCTCCTTTTCAACCTCACCGCCATTGACCTTTTACAGTCCACGAAGTTGAAAAAAGTCGGGTTCCGCGGCGAAACAGTAATGTCGTATTTTTCCATAATTCGGTGGAAAAGCGGCAGATAAAAACAAAAGTGTTGTGAGGGGGCGATAGCGATCGCCGCTTATGAATCCCGTCCTTTTAAAACATCGTTTATTCAAAAATCGCGCTTCCTTGATTTCCAGTCTAGATGACGTCTCGCTACAAGAAGTTATGAAGTTCATACAGTTTCTGCCCGGTTGCCTTGTTATTGCGGTGATAGTGCGCATCGTGTACACAGTGCTGTTGCTACGACGGCCGTGTGTGAAGAAGGTGTCGTATCAGTGGGATCGGGTAGGTTTTGGCTAGGTTATGGTGATTTTTGGAAGTTTTTAAGGGATAAATCTGGTTTTTATTAAGCTAGGGGTGATTTTTGATTACTAAAATTAGAAAATACTTTAACAAGGTGGAAATAAAATATAGATTGTAAAAGTTGCAGCACTCACCTTAGCTTTATTATAGCTATGACCTACCCTTTTATTAATCTATCCTTGTTTAACTATTATGTTATATCAAAAGTAGCGGGACACTTTATGTTTGAAAAATGAATGAAAAGTGTCCCGCTACTTTTGGCTCAACTTAATATCATCTTAGCTTTGCTTTTGCCCTATCCAAGCCCTACCATAACCATGGCACACCCTTTCACTAACCTAGTTTTAGGCTTATCTTGACCTTCTTCATGCCTCTCTCTAACCGTATCTTGACTATAGTCTACCTTTTCATCAATCCAGACATGTTGTCTACCCTTTCACTAATGGAGCCTTATTTTAGCTTTATCTTAACCCTACTCTTGTCTATTTTAGCTTTATTCCAGCCTTAATAAGTTAATGGACATGAAGTTTATCATACTCTAGGCCTATTTTAACTCAACCCCAGCCTCTTGCCTTACTGTTCTACGCTTGTTTTACCATAAAAACTCCTTATCTTTTCCCTTTTCACTAATCTCACCTAGTTTTAGGCTTATCCTAGTCTTGCTTTTGCCTTACTCGAGCCCTACAGTCACTATGTATAATCTACTTCTTTACTAGATTGGTCTTGTTTTAGGCTTATCTAGACCTTACTCTTGCCTTAGTCCCTTCCACTATAATTAAACCTACCCTATTATTAAACTTGTTCTGTCTTGTTGCAGCTTTATTATTGTTATACTCTTAGCCCAAATGTAGCTATAAGTTATCCTTTTACTAATCTTGAGTTATCCTTATCTTATTCTTATTCTTTTTCAATCCCACCCCTACCTAAACTAAACTCAAGCGTTCTTCCAGCCCTATTCCTTTATTATCTTACACGTGACATAGACATACAATATTCTGAATTTGTTTGTAAAATACTAATTAAAACTAATAATATTAGGTGCCGACATAAAGGACCCGCCATACTTTGCCTGTAATATCCTGTAAAAAATGGCGGGTTCTTTATGTCGCTACCTAATAATTAAAATCTACTCTAACCCAATAAAAATATCACATTTCAGGTGTTGTACCTAAACAATTCAGATATTAAAAACATTGAATTCATAAAGTCACCACTATGGTGGCCCGATGACTTTATACTGCCTTCGAAAGTGTGTTTGAATTCGACGAAACAACTTTATATTATAGTAGTTCATTCAGCAATAGGGAATTTTGATCGAAGGAAAAGGCTTCGGGAACTGGTCAAAAATATTAATGGAGTGGTAAGTTTGGTAAAATACGGTCATAACCGTTGGGCAACTAGAAGTTTCCTGTTGGGTAACAAAATATTGGCATATATTAGATGCCGACATAAAGGACCCCCCATTTTTAACAGAAAATTACAGGCAAAGTATGGCGGGTTCTTTATGCCGGCATTTAATATAAGGTTGTTCAAAAAATTCTGTGCTCTTTTTCAAAAACAAATTTTAAAGGTAAGGGGCCCATAATTATTTGGACAAAGTAAAATTTTAATTTTTAAAATATTTTTTAATCTTCCCTCCCCTACATAACTTCTTTTTCTTTTTACCATCCCCCCCCCTTCTCCCCCTCCCCTTCTCCCCCTTCCTCTTCCCCCCTCTTCTCTATACCTTTACCACACCCTTTTCAGAAACCAGAGTTAATCTTCTCAGTCGGTCGAACTCGCAATGTCACCCTACATAACGAGCTTATATACGAAGCCTTAACTTACAACGATCTCCTTCAAACTATGGCTCTGGACGACTATCGCCTGTTACCTTCCAAAGCCCACTCTTGGATACGATTTGTGGCTCGACGGTGTGCCAAGAAATTCAAATTTGTGTTGAAAATTGATGATGATGTCAATGTCAATTTCGATTTGTTCACAAAACTTCTGGAAACGCGAGAAACGGCCAAAGAGCAAGTGTTATGTTCACCTTTCAAGCATATTGCTGATAGAAGGTCTAAGAGCACTTGGTAAAGTTTTATCTTTTATGTTAAGGTAGTATGAGTAAAGTTAGGGCAGAACAAGGTAAGGTATAGCAAAATGTGTAGGCTAATATTAAGTAGGGTAAGGTAATAAAGGAAAGGGTAGTGTATGACACGGTGGGCAGTCCAATATTAAGTGGGGCTTTGGTGAATAGGGTAAGATATAGTGGGTAGGGGTATATTAGGGGGCTAGGGATTAGTAGGGTAAGTAGGAAATAGCAAGGTGGAGTAAACAAGTATAAGGTAGGACTAGGATAGATATGAAAATATTAAGCAAAGTAGGATTGGATAGGGTAGGGTAGGTAATAACAAAAGTCAATTTTCTTAAAAATTAACAGGGGGACCAAGATCAATTTTTCCAAAAATTTTTTTTTGATTTAATACTATCACATTGCATGAAAACCTTTTTAGGTACTTATCAAAGAAGGAATTTCCTTATCGGAACCTCGGCTACTTTTGTGCTGGCCTCGCATATGTTTTGTCGACAGATTTATTGCCCAAAATGCTACGGAATTCGGCGTATCGCCGAGTTGTTTGGGTATGTCTTTTGCTTGACATAGTATTTTAAATTTTTTTACGATACAAATATATAATAAATCTGTAAGATTTTAAAATTGTTCGTTATAAAAGAGTATCTTATACCCATAACTTTTAGCTAGATGATTGGTATGTCACACATGCTTTACTGGTTGGAGAAGACGTTCGAATATATGATATTTGTAAGTTTAAAACCTTTAAGGCTTTAACTTTTATAAGAAACGTTCCGAGCTTCAAATTTAGGTCCGACTTACTTAGTTAGACCTGTAAAGGAGCCGGGCCGACTGGGCTCCCTTTCAGGTCTAGTCCGACTTGAAAAGACCAAACGGCCAAACCTCATTTTTAGGCCAAAACAAGTCTACTAGACTTAAACGAAGGCCTACTAGGACCGGGTTGAGACGAGCTAATCCCAAGCAAATTTGAAAAAATATTCTAGACTACACCTACCCTACTCTACCCTACCCTACCCTACCCTACCCTACCCTACCCTACCCTACCCTACCCTACCCTACCCTATCCTACCCTACCCTACCCTACCCTAACTTACCTTACCCTTATTTACAGGGTGTCCCAAGAAATTTGCAGGATTTTAAAAATTTGTAATTCATCTTTGAGTGATGGTTGAAATACCAAACTTTGTACGGTGGAAGTATGGCCAATGTATATTTTTTGTGAAGAATTTTGGGATTTTAGGGTGCATAGGAGAACATAAATTTTCATCTCAAAAATGCATTTCACACCACAAAGCAGCCAAAAACTTAGAAATTTTTGATGAAAAAAGTGATTTTCAACTGAAAATATGTGTATTTCGGGGTAAAGATGGGTTTTTTCAAAAATTCATAACGACCTTCATATGCACTCTAAAATCCCAAAATTCTTCACAAAAAATATACATTGACCATACTTCCACCGTACCAAGTTTGGTATTTCAGCCATCACTCAAAGATGAGTAAAAATTTTTAAAATCCTGCAAATTTCTTGGGACACCCTGTATATACCCTAGACATGAGGAACGGGCCTGAAAACCAAACCAGCTTGATTTTTTTGCGTGCAAACGGGCCGGTCTTTTAGAAAATTTGAATCGGGCGAACCCTGAAAAACGTTCCTCGTGTCTAATCTTGCCCTACCTTACCCTACCTTGTTCTTATTTATCCTACCATACCCCGCTCTTTACAAGTCTAGTCCACAATATAATAAATTCCAAAAACAACAAAATTCCGTTTCAGCTAGCCTCTACTTCGTATCAGAAAACATCCAAGACGCTTATAGTCAACTAGCTCAAATTCAACTTGGCCTACGTCCACTGCCAATCTTCTCTCATCTACGGCCGCGGAAGTTCTTCACCTCTCATCGACAAACTTTCCTATGGGAAGAGAGTCAAAAATGCCTACTAGAGCCATTGATAGAGGAAAGCGAGTACTACTACATAGAGAATGAGGTGGAGAAGGTGAAACAGGCTTCAAGTCTAAACAACTTTTTGATTGCACAGTAGTTTTGGGTAGTATTCGAGGCATAGTGAACTTATGAGTCACTATGTCTTGGTATTTTAGGTATCCTTTTACTATTATGTTGTTCAAATAATTCTGGGCCCCGGCACTGGCTAAGGCTATACTGTCCTGACTAAAGCTCTTACGTTGTTCAAAAAGTTCTGGGCCCCTTCTCACTTTGTTCAAAAAGTTCTGAGCCCTGTCTCAACGCAATTTTTTAGAGGTAGGGCTCCGAATTATTTGAACAAGCCAATGTTAGGTTGTTCAGTAAGTTCTGAGCCCCTTCTCAAAACAAATTTCCAAGATTGTAGGGCGCAAAATCATTTGAACAAACAAATTTTAGGCTGTTCAAAAAATTTTGAGCCCCCTTTTAAGGCAAGTTTTGATGGTTAGCGGCTCAGAATTATTTGAACAACACAATAGTACTATTACTAGTGAAATCTTAGGTACGATATTACTTTGGGTAATATCCCTAGGTACAGTATTAAGTTATGTAATATTATTGTAGATCTTAAAATCGTAATTACTGTAGAATGATAAATTATGTTGTAGTAGATCTTAAAACCATAAGTACGGTAGAATAGTTAGTTATATTACAGTAGATCTTACAACCATAAAAATGATAGTATGATAAGTCACATTATGATATTATAGTAGATCTTAAAACCATAAGTACGGTAGTATGATAAGTTATCTTATAGTAACTCTTATTGTAATGTAAAATTACAATCAATATTGTAATTGTCATTCTTTAATTAAAGCATGGTAACTGATAACTCATTCCTTGATTAAAGAATGACAACTACAATATATCTTGTTGTTATTATCTCTTGATCACGTATGTTTGTTTTTCAACTTACTTTTGCATCAAATTATTTTCGAAAATTTATAAAAAATCTTATCTGATTTGTTATTGTTCTTTGTTTAATAAAGATCTCAATAAACCATCGCAAAATTTTTTGGCACTTATTAAACAATTTATGTTAGAAGCAAAGCAATAAAAATCACTCTGTAAAGGCACCACATATAGTAAACACAAAATCTCGGGTTCTTCGGCTTGCTTACATACAGAGAGTACTGTATTATAAAAGCAGAGAGTACTGTATTATAAAAGCAGAGACTACTGTATTATAAAAGCAGAGATTACAGTATTATAAAAGCAGAGATTACAGTATTATAAAAGCAGAGAGAACTGTATTATAAAAGCAGAGATTACAGTATTATAAAAGCAGAGAGAACTGTATTATAAAAGCAGAGAGTACTGTATTATAAAAGCAGAGACTACTGTATTATAAAAGCAGAGATTACAGTATTATAAAAGCAGAGATTACAGTATTATAAAAGCAGAGATTACAGTATTATAAAAGCAGAGAGAACTGTATTATAAAAGCAGAGAGTACTGTATTATAAAAGCAGAGACTACTGTATTATAAAAGCAGAGATTACAGTATTATAAAAGCAGAGATTACAGTATTATAAAAGCAGAGAGAACTGTATTATAAAAGCAGAGAGTACTGTATTATAAAAGACAAAAAAAAACAAAATTATTTTTTCATGTCTACAATATAGTAAGGTACATGGGAACGGTAAAAAACGCGATTTGCTGTACAAAAGTCTCTCTAAAGGTCATTCACAACGTTCCATTCACGTTGCAGACAAAACGTTCTTTCCCTCAAATTAAAAGCTGCAATTAAAGTAAAAGGTCACTCTGACCAAATCAATGGAAAAAAGTTACAAAACCATATTGTGAATGCCTTTATATAGGTATTAATAGCTTTCATCGTCTGGGTTTTTATAATATTAGGTTGTTAAAATAATTGTACGCCTCCTTTAAAAGTAGATTTTTCGAGTTAAGGAGCCCAAAATTATTTGAACAACCTAATATAACTATAACTCAAGATAATTTATAACTCTTTACTCATGCTGAGCTTAGTAGTTCAGAAAAAACGTTTAGATTCCACATGTAGACGATATTGTAGTAGGTTTAAATTGTTGTTTTGGCTATTTTTCAAGTTACTTTAAACTTTTTTAATCATCACAACCCTTTAATCAATCTACAGTAACCGAAGACCATAAACTCTCTTTAATCGCCCTACAGTAACCAAAAACCATAACACCTAACAGTATATTTGTTTTCGATCGACGTGTGTTTATCAAATATCTTCAGATTCCAGAAGATCTCAAACTTCAAAGAACTGAAGATTATCGCAATATCTTGTCGAACACGTGATTCGAAATCGAATTAAATTTTGTGAAAATTTCTCTATAAAAACATCGTACGACCACGCGTTTTCATACCAGTAAATTGTTTCAAACAACAATATTGTTCAACTTTTTGATCTTTAACTGATAGTTAGCTATTAGTAGAACAAGGCTTGTAACTGAAGAAAATTAAAGTATTAAGTTGTTCACATAACTCTGTGCCCCGTAACCCCAAAAATTTCCTTTGAGAGGGACACATAATTACTTCAACAACCTAATGGTTTCAGTATAAGATCAGTTGGGGTTTTTGGTTAATATTGTTTTAACTTTTAGGCTTAATATTGCTGCGACTCTCAGATAAATCAAGATTATTTGTTTTAGGTTTAGTTCTTTCGTAAATAAAGGGTTTTGTAAAAGCTATTATCGAGTTATCTTCATTATGCTACTTTCAAGCTCGTCCGATTAAATCTGCCATTTCTAATTGAACATAACCTTATTATAATACATATTTTATGTCAATAGAAAGCAAAAATAACAAGCTTGAATTTTCTATAAGCCTTGACAACTTATCATTCACTTTTCCTTAAGAAAATTACAAATCTTTTATAAAGTCCCACAGTGGTGGCTACTACAATATTCTTTTAATCACACATCAAAAATCAAGTAAAAAATACATTCAAAGTTTCTTTTGTCCCTTTCCTAAAGCTATATCCAACCTTTAAAAGCAATATTTTAATAAATCCAGCTTATTCTTGTCTAAAAATCAAATTTATATTATCCATGACGTCCCATCCAATAAAACAAACAATAATTAATTGGAACGCATCATTTTCTGAGACTGATTACTTCGAAAAGAATGTACAAAGCCTCATAATTAGCTAGCTTACCAAATTGCTATAAAACAGAAGAGAATCACGCTAGACCACGCTGATATTCACCTTCTGTCTACTGACGAGTCCAGAGTGAATCAACGTCTTTTCCTTGAATTTTAAATTCGTAATCGTAATGCATCAATTGTTTAATATAGTACAGTTATTTGAGTTACTTCTAAGCTGGTTTCACATGAAAAATGTCCAAGAAGTTCAGAATATTCGCCTCGGTCAAAAAAAGTTGTAGATAAAAAAAACAGTCGACTCAAACTGAAATATTGTGCCAAGTCTCACCGTTAACATGATTTCTCTGGTTTCTCGAAGGTTTTTCATGGATTCTGGCTATATTTTCAGCTTCCGCTCACTGTAACAGATTTTTGTTCTGTAAATTTTTGTCAAAAGAACTTTAAACTCTATGATATTTTGAATATCAAGCGTTTTTTGGGTAATATTTCGCGGTTTTATGGATAATATTGCGTTTTCAATATTGCGTTGAAGAAGGTGTTGATGTATTTTAATTTTAAAAAGTTTATAATACTAATGAGTACTGTTTTAGGGTTTAAAATGAGGCGGCATAGTTGGATATTCTTATTTGGATTCATTTGTTTAGTTGGAGCTGAGCCCGAACCTTTGGTAAATTTTAATGATTGGCACTGTGGAGCTAGCAGCATTGATAAATATTTATCACATCAGACGGTTTACGAAGATTGTCCTAACTTGATGCGTAAGTTTTTTGTTTAGTTTGGTTCAGGTTTTATTGAAGGATGTGCTATATTACACTTGATTGCTGTGGGTGGTTAGGGGTTTTGAAAGAATTTGCAGGTTTTTGAACAAATTGAAGGTTTTTGTTATTAAAATAAGATAGAGGAGTATCTTAGCTACGTTTTAAGTGTAATTCTAGCTTCTTTGTCTTTTCTTTAACAAAATTAAGAACAATATTACGTTACCTATATTAAAATTTTCTCTTTCAGCCGATGTCAATGACTGCTGCCGAGTTCACGATAACTGTTATGTAATTCATGCTTCTCAACAAGAATGTGATGCTGCGTTTTGTGAATGTTTATCAAACCATATGAAAAACGTTTGTCCTCAAGTTGCAGACATGTTTTGTGCCGTTGTTCAGATCTTCGGGAAAGCAGCACATCAAAGTGCATATAAAGGAAACATCACTGTCGTAGAAGCTTCACCAGCTCTTGTTGATAGTAAAAATGGAAACCAAGGGTATTCTGATGTTGTAAAAGTTCCTTCAGAAGCTGATCCAGACGTTAGAGTTGATCAAAATTCAAAAGCAATCGAAATCGATCCAAGTCTTGTTGTTGTTGATGCGGTGCCAGAAGATTCAGACAATAATGTTGTACTAGAGGATTCGAGCAATAATGGACAGGATAGCAAAAGAACAAACTCGTTTTTGGATGAAGTATCAGCAGATGAAAGTGGATTGAATGTAGTGGGTAATGAGGTGAAGGTTGAAGTCATGGATAATATGGAAAGGAACAAGTTGATCGACTTGATGTTTTTTGTCAATGAATATGAGATGTGCTTTGTGAGGGATGAACAAGGTTGGTTAACAATTGATTTGAAGGATCTTTTTTAACTTTTAAATCTTTTAAATAAAGTTTTTGCTGTTTAGGTACATAAGATCAGTTTTTCAGTTAGTTTTTGTCAATATAGACCTTATTTTAGCTCTGGAATACTGCAAAGTAAACGCCAACGAATTCATTCGAGTCGAAATAGCAGATGGTCTCAAATCAACCTGTAATTGCTTGTTAAACATCCTCAAGCTTGACCAACTGAGATCTAACCGAAGATGCAGATCAAAGTTCGAAGAGTTTTGCCCGGTTGATCAGATCAATGTCAATGAACCCGATGCAAATTTTTGGGACACAACAATGAGGCTGGGCTTCACGTTACCTGAAAAGATTCTGATCGTATCTTTCTTCACACTGTGCGTGTTATGTTGCGTTTTAATTCCACTACATTTTCAAAAGAGCAACAGGAAAGGGGAGAGCGTTATTCACAGTACGTTTTGTTGTTTTTTGTTATTTTAGATAGGAAACTGGGTTGATTTTAAAGGTTTTTCAATGCGAAGTATTTTTAGCGCGAAACCTATCTTTTCAATGTAAAACTAATTTATTTTTTGGATTTTTTATAAAAGCTTATTTTTTTGCTAAAAGAGGAATTTACGTCATATTTTACAAGCCTAAAGCCCGTCAAAAAAAACGATTTTGTTTGATAAAAAGCCTATTGAAACCAGTCCCTTTCGATGACACCTGAAAACAAGTGCTTTCGCAAGCGTCGCCTCATTGGCTCAGGGGCAGAGCGTCTGTCTAGTAAACAGAAGGTCGCTGGTTCGATTCCAGCATGAGGCAGTTGTTTTTTTTGCTGATTTTTCTCTAAATTGTTATTCTTTTTTGGTGATAACAACTTGTATAAATTTCTAATGTTATTTCGAAATCATTAAAATGATTTTAGGTATTATTTTTTATTAAGACTTGATTAAAAATTAAGATTTTTCGGTTATTGACAGATTTTTTTTTGCCAATTTTTGTCATTTTAGGTCCATTCTCAACATTCAATCACGAATCCATCTTTCATCCAAAACATCAGCGTGTACCGGACAGTCAAGCCTACCTTGTGGATTCGGATGAAGAAGAGTTTGCGTCAAATTCCTCAAATTCATCTACCAATCTGCCAATGTTACCAATGAAGGTGGAGCTGGCTGAAGACGCCTTGAATTCGGACGATGTTCGGTCTACTGGGTCTTCTGATTGCTAATTACATGTAAAGTCAGGATAAGCTAGGGAGGGATGGCTAGTTCATTTTGGAGCTGGTTTATGAGAGTAGGGGTTTTCTTTCGAGTTTTGGCTAGGGCGGGTGGATTAGAAGGTTTTTAGTGAAGTGGGGGATAGCTTGAGGGTTTTCGAATCTTAAGGGGGCTTGTAAGGCCAGGGTTATTTCATGACATTTTGGATACTGTAGGCTTGTCTACAGTATCTTATGGTGCTAGTTATTCCTATTTTTGTATAGTTTTTGATTATTTTATAGCGATTTAAGATTGTGTAATAAAAGCCTTGTTTAGGCAGATTTTGGTCAATTTTTCTTATTTTTTAATCTCATTTTAATGTAGCTCTTTATATTACAGTAGAATATCATTTTTTTTAAATTTACTACAGTAGAATATATTTTTTTGGAAATTTACTACAGTAGAATAGTACTTATCTTCAAAGTCATTAGAGCAAAGTCACATTGATGTAGCTTTAATATAGCACTCTGTAATCGCACTTGTGTATCTTATTTCTTTTTTCATTTATTGCTCTAAACTTTATATATTATATATTGTCGGGTATTTTTCTTGTTTAGTCTCGTATTAAGCGTGTCAAGTTTTTTCTCCCAAGCTTCTATAATGTTTTTGTGATTTTCAGTTTTTTCACTTTAAATAAAGATATTTGCGATAAATATCGACTAATTTTTTCAAATTTGCAGTTTTTTGAAAATTAAAAAAATTTTTTTTTTTTAAATTACAGGGAAGTTCCCAATCTGCCCAATCAGAATCAGATCAAAATTTTTATATGAATTCCTTGTACCACCAATAGTACCCATAAAAAATTTTAGCCCGTGCTTTTGAGTTTTAAAATTTAAATATTTGAGTTTCCCGCCAATTTGGCAATGTGTTTCAACCACTTTTCGACTTTCCAAACAAGCTAGGCTTACAAATTTAAAAAGTAGGTTTATTTAAGGTTTTTGTACTAGTAATCAATGAAAAATGATTAAAAGACAAAAATTGGCAAAGTTATAGGCTTGAAACACAATGCCAATTTGGCGGAAAATTCATAACGTAATTTTTTAGTTGAGGTTTTTTCGACTTTGACTGGAAAGAGTGATTTAGTACTTTGCTGAAAATCTTATATTTACATGATCTTTCTATATAAAAAGTTCAAAGACAATCAGAGCGGGGCAGGTACTTTCTATATTAATATTTTTTTTTATTTTTTGGATTATTTTTTTTTTAAATTTTTTTGAAATTTTGAAAAAATGCAAAGTTGAGCTATTTTTTCATTTCAAAAACACAATTTCAAAAAAAAATTTTTTTGACAGCTAGTGATCGGTTGAAGTAGCCAAAATGGGTGCTAAGTCGGATACCTCAATCAAACATGGAGAAAGGTATGTTCTTGATGTTACAGTAGGCTTTTTCGTTGCACAAAGAAGCAGATCCGCCCCATTTTTCCGAGAGAGGCACAGAATTATTTGATTTATTTGAGAAGGGCACAGAAATATTTGATTCACCTAAAAAATTGTTGGGAAGAGGCTCAGAATTATTTGAACAATCTAAAAATTTGTTTTTGAGGGAGGCACAGAATTATTTGAACAACCTGAAAATTGTTTTGAGAAGGAGCACAGAATTATTTGAACAACCTAAAAATTTTTTAAGGGGCTCAAAATTATTTGAACAACCAAAAAAAATCTGTTTTGGGAGGCACATAATTATTTAAACAACCTTTTAACTTCAGTCAAGACAGTATAACCTCAGCCAGTGCCAAGTCCAACACCTCTTCCATCTCCTCCGACGACCTCTCTTGCTTGCCCAAATCGACCGGTAAAAAGTTTATTTACCCGAAGACCTTGAACGATCTTATATCGACCGGAAACGAAGAGAAAAAGCGACAGATTGGGAAGAAAATCGGGATCCTGGACAAGAAAATGGTCGAGCTGAAGGAGGATTTGAGGAAGAAATGGGCGGAAGTGAAGAGAGAGAGAAAGGAATACGGAGAGACGACAGACGGAAAAATTGAAGGGAACAAGGAAAATGGTAAGGACAACCAGGAGGGGATTATTCAAAGTAAGGCTGTATTCCACCTTACCTTATTATCCCCTACCATACCCTACCCTACCCTATCTTACCTACCCTGTACTACCCTAAATAGTCGCGACCAGTAGACATGCGGAACAGGCCAGGCCTGAGCAAAATTTAGGTCGTGCCGGGCCTGGAAATCCCGCAAAAAGCCCCGACCCTCGCCTCAGACCAAAAGTGCCCACCCTGCTATGTTCGCGACCCACCTTACTCTACCTCGCTTTTTGAAATGGCAAGAACTTTCTTTACGAAGCACAAAATGGCAAGAACTTTCTTTACAACTCAAAAAATGGAAAGAACTTTCTTTACAAGACAAAAAATGATAAGACATTTTTTTAGAGGATAACTTGTCACCCGCATCCCGCAGGATTCAAGAAAAGATTTTTTTAACAATTATAACGCGTAAAATGAAAAGAACTCTTTACAAGGCAAAAAATGGCAAGAACTTTCTTTACACAACAAAAAATGACAAGAACTTTCTTTACAATTTAATTTTCAGCCAAAACCGACTTCTTTATTGCCCTGATGAGCAACAAGGACATTGACGATCGGAGCCGTAAATCCTTTGGCACGTTGGATGGCAATTTGAAAAGTTATGAACGATTTGCGTACGATGAAAGCTTGGCCAAATATTACGAAGCCAGAGACGATAGAAATGAGATTATTGAGAAGACTAGAATAATGCTGGACTATGCTTGGGAGATGGCTTGTCGCTGCGAAAGGAAGAGGAAGGAGGTCGAGGTGGTCAAGGATAACATTATTCAAGGACATTTGGACCGCCGAAGCCAGAGTGGTAGGTAGAGTAGGGTAAGGTAGGATACGGTAGGGTGGGGTATTGCAGGGTGGGATAAGGTAGGGTAGGGCCGGGTAGGGTAAGGTAGGGCAGGGTAGGGTAGAATAGAGTAGGGTATGGCAGGGTAGAGTACCGTAGGGTGGGTAGGGTATGTTAGGGTAAATATAACTTCAATTTTTCAGACACGTCAAGAAGCCGAAAGCCTTTGAGTTACCGTACTATCCAACGCAAGTTCAGTGTCTACAACAACATGGACATTTTGAATTCGCGCAGTAAAAGCAGCATGGGATAAAACAACATTATTTATTGAAATTTTACTGTAATATTCATTGGAAATAAATTTTTTTTTAATTTCTGAATTTTGATTTCGAAATTTTAAAAATTTTGTTTTTGAAAACTTGGAACTGACTTTTTGCCATTTTTAACCAAATATTCCGTGCCCACATAAAGAACCCGCCATACTTTGCCTGTAATTTCCTGTTAAAAATGGAGGGTTCTTTATGTCGGCACCTAATATATTAGGTTGAACCAAAAGTAACGATACATATTAGCGTGTTCACATAATTCTGCGCCCCCTTACCCCACAAATTTGCTTTGAGAGGAAACGCAGAATTAAGTGAACCACCTAATATAATCCAAAAAACATATAAATGATATTAAAAATTTACCGGTCGATAAAATAGGCTTAAATTTGAAAACAGTGGTTATTAATAAATTTTTAATTTTTTTTCAGTTATTGTATAAGTTTTACTGTGCGATGGTTTGTAATTATTGCTTTATGTCATAACCACGGTCGGGCGGGCACTTTTGGTCTCGGGGCAGGGATCGAAAAACCTGTGCCGAGCTTTTTTTTAAAATTTTTTTTCAAAACTCCACAGGGGGACCAAGTTAACTTTTTTCAAAAATTTTTTTTTTGCTGAGGGGGGGGGGGAGGGTGATAATCTCACGGGCCCGGCCCTGATGATAATCGTAAACAATATTGTTGCTCCTGCTTCAGTTGGTAAGACTACCATAAAATAAAAAAGTGTTAGGTTGAACCAAAAGTAGCGGGACACTTTTCATTTATTTTTCAATTAAAGGTGTCCCACTACTTTTTGTTCGACCTAATAATGTTTTAAGGCTGTTCTGCTGATTTGGCAAGTGTTAATACACTACTAACTTACAAAATATTTATTCGATTTTATTGAAAATTATGAAAAGAATAGTCAAAATAATGATGAAATCATATGAATGAGTAAGACATTATAGTTTGTACATATGTCAGTAATGGTAAGTTAGTTATCCGTTTTAGACTTGGCCAAGCTTTCGTATAGAAAATAGGTCAGTGATTGGTAGCCAAGCCTTTAAAAATTAAAATCTTTTTAGCCGAGCCTTAAAAAAGGTAATTCATCACTAACCAAGCCTCAAAAACGGTAATTCACCCTTAGCCCCAAGCCTTAAAAAAAAGGTAATCCACGTTTAACCAAACCTTTGAAAACTAAGTTATTCCTCAGTAACCTCGCCCATTCTTTGGTACCGTTCGATTCGTTTGGCTTTGCGACGTTCCGCATTTCGTTTCTTCTGTTCTCGATCCATTTCGAAGGCCTTGGCAAGGTCGGCAGTGTTGTGTTTGACGCACAACGGATGGCGGAGGACGCCTTTATTGATTCCGGTTATCGCTGAAAACAATTTTTTTATACTTAAAAATAAAAAACTTAAAATTTTAGGTACCTTTTCAATATAAAATTTTTAAAAAATACTTTAAAATTGATTTTCCTGTCAAAAAAAGTTAAAACTTAAGCACCTTTTTCAATAAAATAAAAAGGATTAATTTAATCCCTTTCACCTTTAAAAGTTCACAAAAATGCATCAATAACAACTTACAGCCTCCTGGTGAATAAACCAATCGTTCTCCGGCAGCATGATTCAGCCTTCTAGTTGGGCGTAGACGAGTCGACCGCCGTAGGTTATGTTCCGAGGCGAATTCATCTGATCCCTGAAGTTAGAAGCATTATTCTTTGTCTACATCTTGCTGTTAGGCTACAGTAAATTAATATTTGTAAGCTGTTTAACAAAGAAAAAAAAATTTTTTGCCCACGCCCAAAAAAATTTTTTACCCCGCTCAAAAAAATTTTTTAACTCTTTCAAAAAAAATTTTAAAAAAATCATAACCTGCTCCTAAGTGCCATAATTAAAAATTTTTTGATCGCCCCCCCCCCCCCCCAAATTTTTTTTTACCCCTCCCAAAAAATTTTTGCCCACATCTTACAAAAAAAAACCGTTCTCTTCACCCACGCCCCTTTAAAATACAATTTCTTCACTTTCATATCCAAAAAAACCTACCGTAACAAGCTTCGGCGGCTTAATGACCACTTCCTTGGCCTTTCCGCCCTTTTTGGCCGCTATAATCAGATGTTTTGGAGCTGGAGAGGACAGTGCATCTTCTGGATCATCCAGAACGCCCATTCCTGTAGCATCTGAATCCTTGGCAAACGGCAGAACTCTGGTTGAATCGAAGCCAGTGTCTTGACTTGACCCATATTCATTCGATCCTTGTCCATCTAAACTCGATCCTTGGCCATATTCATCTCCGTAGCCAGAAGGTGGATCCTCCAATGTGAACTGAGCAAAGCTTTCGAAGAGGAAATTGCTGTCACTTGGGATATGACATAGGTTTTCGTTGGGTTCTCGGCAGATCGAGGCTTCGCCTAGGGTAATATCGCTGTCGTTGAGTAGAGCGAGCGGTTTTTGGGACTTCTGGCTCCGTAATGGTTGGGAAATGAATTCTCCTGCGCTTTTCTGATTGTCTAAAGTATGAATATGATGAAAAACGTTTTTAAAAAATATAAAAACATGTTTGAAATTCCATATTCAAAAATCGTCTAAAATTTGGATTTCAAGCCAAAAAAGCAATGTTTTTGATCCAAAACTCTAGGTTTAAAACTTGAAATCAAGACGTATATAACATAAACCACCCACCCCTTTCAAAAAATGAGATAAACTACCCTCTCCTTTAAAAAAATTACATAAACCACCCTCCACTTTCTAAAAATGCCATAAACCACACCCGCCTTTTAAAAAATAGCATAAGCCACCTTCCCCTTTCAAAAAATGACATAAACTACCCGCCCGTTTAGAAAAAATCTTCTTTTAATTCACCATCCCCCCACCCACTCAAAAAATGCACTTACAATCATTGCTACTATCGAACAGAACCCTCGGATTCACACTTCCGCCAAACTTGAAAGACTGCGATTGAATAGGACCACTCATAAGTGCACCATCTTCAGTCAGCATCGAGTCCAACGGCCCTGAACCGTCTCTTTTCGGCGTCTCGTAGTTCTTGGCTATCATACTCAGAGCGGATTGTCGTACTTCCGACTGTCTTACTCGTTTTTCGGCCTGCTTTTCTGTACTTTTAGTACCATTCATAGTTGAGGTTGTCTAAAAAATCATATCTTAATCAACAAAAATCATCAAAAATATTATTTTAAGTAACATAATTGTCAAAAATATTATTTTAGGTAACAAAAATCATCAAAAATATTATGTTAGGTAATAAAAATGAAAAATATTATGTTAGGTAACAAAAATGTCAAAAATATTAGTTTAGAAAACAAAAATGTCAAAAATAACATTTTAGGTAAAAAAATGTTAAAAATATTATTTTAGGTAACAAAAATGTCAAAAATATTATTTTAGGTAAAAGACTCAAATAAAAGCCTTTTCCTTACCGTATCCCATCTCGACTTGACAATGCTTTTGCTCGTTGAAGTGGTTGAGACTTCTGAATCCATCAATTCTCTTGATGTATCACATGCTCTCGATGCCAGACTAAAGACACTGGATCTCCTTGAGCCTTTCGGACTGTCTTCTATCGTCACCTGACTACAGGACCTTCTTGTGGACTCTAGAATCGTTGAATCTTCATTTTTTGTAGCTTCGAATTTCGAATTTTCATCATTTTCGTCCTGTAATTTCAAAGTTTCAGCTCCAAGTCCCGAATTCGCAGCTCCAGCCGATTTTGCGGTTGATTTTGGTGTTTCTGGCAAGAATGACGACTTCTGACAGCTCTGAGTTGGGGTTTGAATCAATGATCGTGCTCTAGACGCTACGGTTGGTGAGGCGTAGCTCTTGGCTGCTTTAATCATCTCTCGGTTGCGGACTCGGTCCACTAGTCTGGGCGAAGACTTTTTACTCTGTAAATTAAACATTTTTAGAAAATTTTCCTCTCTAAACTAATTAAATTGAAAATTTTTAAAAAATTACAATATAAAATATTTTTTAAATAATTTTTTTTTTAAAAAAATTTTTTTAATTTTGTCTATTAAAAACCAAATTTTGTTACCTAAAAATCTTTTAAATTTAAAAAAAATGCCGCTTTTGCTTTAAAAAAAAGATATTTTTCAACTAAAATTAAGCAATAAACTAAAATTTGTTACCTAAAAAACTTTAAAAATAAAAAAATAAAAATTATAATTAGAAAACCTTTTTTAAAACCATCATTTTTCAAGAATCACCCCTCCATAATGATTAAAAAACAAATTTTCTTATCTAAAAAATTAAATTTGTTACCTAAAAAACTTTCCATCAGAAATTCAAATTGCTAATAAAAAATCCCCCAAAACCAAAATATTTTAAAAATTACCCCACCCCCCCCCCGGGGCCATGTTTCAAACTCCCCGGCGCATAACATGTTTTCCCCCCCCCCAGAAAAAATAATAATCACAAAAAACATACCAAATTCATGACCTTCCTCCTGGGTGATCTCGGCGTAGACAACAGTGAAGTTTCTGAAGCCGTGGAGGCATTGGTTGAGTGTTCCGAAGTGCCTTCTGAAGTTGTGCCTTCGCTGGTTACCGAGTTCAATGATGATTTCCGCTTCAGATTCCTGAATGGAATGCCTGTTGTGGGTGCCATGGAGCGTCGGCCATCCAGCGGCATCATGTTCTGCCATATCTTTCGTGGCGACTTCTTCTCAAAGTTCTTGAAGAGTGGGTTCTTGGGCTGGGGACGTTTGACGACTGGCTTTGGGGTCGCTGGAGTCGTTGTGGACACATTTAGTGATTGTTCTGGCTGCAAAAATATCAATCTCAAATCAAAGCCATGACAAACATATTTTACTACATTACTATCGACTTATCTCGTCTTTTAAGGCCATTTCCAACCTTTTTCAACACCTAAAAACAAAAAAAATTGAAATTCTTACCACATTTGATGTCAACGAAGCTCCAACCACAACATCAATATGATCAACTTCTTGATGGTCAACGGCTTCCGACCGTATTGAATCATGTTCTTCTGTTTCCGGAGTATCTGACATTTCCGACGCCTAAAACAGTCAAATAAGTTATAAATTTCGACTTCAAAGTGCATTTCAAAGACTAGTAATTGTTTGTACATGATACAGGCATTATCTAAGCTATACTATAATCGTTTTTTCTTGTCTAAACTCAATTAAAATCCTATATTCAAATGAAAATCCTTCATTTCCTACCTAAATTCGATTAAAACCTTAATTTCAAAGCAATAAAAACCTACTTTAGTCCTCCAGAGACTACATTCAGTTACCGACAAGGGCAAGTCCTCCAAAGGATTCTCAGATTGAGGACATTTGACGACTGATCTTGGGGTCGTTGTGGAAACATTTAGTGATTGTTCTAGCTGAAAAAATATCGACCTCAAATCAAAGATAAACATATTTTACTTTATTATTATAGCCTTATCTCGTCTTTTAAAGCCATTTCCAACCAAATTCTCAATACCTAAAAACAAAACAAAAAACTGAAATTAAATTAAAGTTCTCACCACATTTGAAGAAAAAGCTTCAACCACAATTGGTTCATCCTCAACAAGACCAACTTCTTCATGCTCAGCGGCTTCCGGCCGTATTGAGTCATGAATTGTTGTCTGCGTATCAGACATTTCTGATGCCTAAAACAATCAAAAAACTATTTTAAATTAAAAAACCCTCATTTCCATTGAAAATCCACTCATTTTTAATAAAAATCTCCATAAAACATTCCCTTCTAACCAAAAACCACTAAAAACTTACTCTTGTCCTCCATAAAGAGCATTCTGTGATCTCCAGTGTCGAAATTTCGGTTTTATTTCCTGCCTAAAATCATACAATTTTATATACGCCTAGCTAAATTTAAACATTAAAAACCGTGAAAAGACTAGGGCTAGAGATGTAGCAAACTCAAGGTTTTCACTTAACCTTCTTAAGCTCCAAACTAAACATCAGCATAATATTACTGTGTTCTCTGCCAGTTTTCACCAAAAATACGCCTAAAAACTTAAAAAACAAAGAAAACCCTTACCTTTCGACCAAAAGAAGTTTGAGACAATACTAGCACATCAGATGGCACGATTTCAGAGGCTCGACCACTTTTGGAAGCACGTGTGTGGTTAAACGTCTTATCGGATATCTAAAATAATATAAAATATAAGATTTAGCTTTTGATGTGAAAGGTAAGTCTGTTTTTAGTTTAAAACAGCCAAAAATTGTTATTTCCAATGCAAACTCGATTAAAACACTTATTTCTTATCTAATCTCAACTAGAATCTTCATTTCATACCTAAATTCAACTAAAATCTTAATTCCAAAGCAATATAAACCTACTTTAGTCCTCCACAGACTACAGTCCGTTATTGAAAGTGCATTATGCAAGTCCTCCAAAGCAGCTGTTGTATTTGATACGGTCCCCACAGTCATATCAAACCTTGGAAGCATCCAATCCTCCAACACCTAAATCCATAAACAACATAAAACAAATAAAACTTACCATTTTGACCACACTCCGTTTTAAAACCATTTTTGAAACTGAAAAGACATTGATTAAAACAAGGAAAGTTGGATAAAGGTATATTACACACGCTTAAAGTTGATTTAAAAGGTTATCCTGCGGCTTTAAAACAAAATAAAATCAATATTTCTGAAATAAAAACAAAGAAGAATGTAATATAAACAACTAAAAATAATATAAAACCCTTTTTCCTAAGTTAAACCGTCTTGTAAGCCTCTAAAACAACGTTATAATAGACAACCCTCGTCGAACCCTTTAAAATAAGATAAAACCGCTTTTAGAGCTTCTAAAACAATATAAATCTCCTATAAACTTTTTAAAACAATATAAAACCATCTATAAAGTTTTAAAAACCATATAAAACTAGATTTACACTCTCTAAAACGATATAAAACCTTCCTTAAAGCCTCTAAAACAACGTAAACCCAATCACAAAACCTCATAATTAACCTTTTCAACACTTTTAAAATGTAAATCTGATTCTAGAGTTTAAAAAAGCTTGTATATTACTTCAATATACACAAAAAATCTTCTCCAATATTCAAATAGCCAAAAACATCAAAGTGAATTCTGTTTTCGCTCCTTCAGTCCGGCCGCAGCTGACGCACGCCTTCTCTCTTTTGTTTGCTGCGAACTGCGGCGCTATATTATACGAAAGCGTTTTTCTTCTGCGTCAGTGTTTTGCCGGACCCGTCCGGTCCGGTCCGAACCGAACCGAAAATTTTCCGGACCAAACCGGACCGAAAAAAAAGTTCCGGACCGGTCCGGAAAAAAATTTTTTTTTATTTTAATAAAACTGTTTTAAAAATTGCAAATAAAACATATTTTTTAGAGTTTTTAAACGTAAAGAAAGCAGTTTTAGCGCTCCTGGCTCTTTTTAAAAATAAAAAAAAATTTTCCGGACCGGACCGGACCTGACCTTTTTGGTCCGGACCGGACCGGACTTGAGCGAAAATTTTTCGGGCCGGACCGGACCGAAAAAATTCTCATCCGGACCGGTCCGGCAAAACACTGTTCTGCGTTGCCCAGAATCAAGTCAAATTACTATTATATCAAAAAAATGATTAAACTTTAAAAAATGAAAAAGTTATAGGCTTGAAACACAATGCCAATTAAGCGGGAGATTCAAAGTCGTTGGTTGCCATTATTGCCAAAAAGCTACAATTTGTTAATTAGTTTTTTTTTGTAGAAAACGATAACATTTATTGCTTTTTAAGTGTTTTTTAGGGACTTAAAATTTAAAAAAAAGTATTTTTTGTTTTTGTTACCTAAATTTATAGCTTCGACATCAAACTTTTGTATTTAAATCCAACTACTTCTTTTTTTAAACAGCAAGTGTCATCATTATTGCTAAGTCTCTATCTCAGTATCAGGCACAAAGTCAGGCCTAAAGCCAGGTTTTGGCTCAAGCGTAGGTGTTACTTTTAAGCCCAAGTTCAGGCTCACCCTTAAGCTCAATCGATTTGGCAAGTTAATTATTAGGTGCCGACATAAAGAATCCGCCATTACTTTTTAGCAAAAGACATTTTTTATTAAACATGTCACTATAAGAGAATTCAATGACCTTAAACCGTATAATTAAACCTGTATACATGTAACAAACTATTTTTTTGAACTTTCTGTGAAACCAATATACCATTAGTTATTAGACCAATATGGCTAAAATAGCTTATTATTTGCCAATTCATCTAATTATGACATATCATAATAATTGTTTTAAGGAATTTTAATGTAATATAACATTTACCAGAATAATATGATAGTAAAGTGTCACATGATGTTTGTACAAGCTGTAATTAGTGTTCTGTTCGACTGTACAAGCATGTCATTAAATTTACCTACTCATGTTGTATCGACAAAAGATTAGTATGTCACATTCGTAGTGGTATAATAGCTGACTTGCCGTGTCATTTTAAGTGTTTGTTTTTTATTGTGTCTGTACAGACTAGTACTTTACATTTAATTACAGCTTGTTATTGTGAAGATGCATACAGTGTCAAGAAGGGCTAGAGCTAGGGCTAGGGCTCTGGCCTAGGGCTAGGGCTCTGGCCTAGGGCTAGGGCTCTGGGCTAGGGCTCTGGGCTAGGGCTCTGGGCTAAAATTTTAACAATATACAGTTTTAGCACTTCTTGTAAGATGAATGAGGCGACCTTGCACATGATTGGCATATACATGATGGTTGGAGAAGTGATGAATGGGTTGGCACAGTTAATACTAAACATTTTATACCTTCGCAAATTTTTGCGAATTCAAAAATATAATGAAAATTTCAAACAAACTTTTGTAAGTGTTTCAGCTAGACTAAAAGTTCTGACGCTAAGGCTAAGGCTTAAGCTAAGGCTAAGGCTGAGGCTAAAACTAAGGCTAAGGCTAAAGCTAAGGCTAAGGCTAAGGCTAAGGCTAACAATATTATAGATAATCTTCAACCTAATCATCAGTTTATCAGCCTTCTTCCATCCAGCAACCGAATTCTGTTTGTACCTCCAACAACGTCAATTGTTTATAGACTATTACCACTATTTAAAGTTGATCAAATACTTTTTTTGTTTCCTCGACCACATTACAGCCGTATTCGTCGAGTTCAAGTTTTATATTTTGGCCATCGAACGAGTGATTGCATTGAAACGACGCAAATCTGAAGATATGCCTATAGCCAATGTGCCGGGAAAACTGCTGGGTGTTACGGTAAGTATGATTAGACTTGAAAAGGAGCTTTGTAGGCCCGGCCGCATAAAGGCCCCATGCTATGCTTGACTCGGCCCACACATCTGCTAGGGCCGAACCAACATTGAAAAGAGCCGGGCCGTGTCGGATCGTGCGCGCCTGAGAGCCGGGCTTAAATGAATGCACCAGCTTTAGACATGAGAAACAGGCTCGGCTTGCCATCGGGCCGGGTCGGGCCGGCCCAACGCAAAATTTCGATCGGGCCTGGCCTCAAAAATAGGCCGGGCTCGGCCTGTTTTTACGTAAAAAAGTTGGTCTTGTTTGGTTCGGGCATGCCGTTGGGTGGGACCGGCCCTAAGCAAAATTTGGACCGGGCTTGGCCTGCAAAATAGGTCCGACCTGTTCTTTTTGTCTACCCTGCTTAGGTCCCGCAACAAAAGATTTACTTGCGAAAAAAGGCCGGGCCAAAGAAAATCTGGAAAGATCAGGGCCGGTTCATGCAAGCCCGAGGGGCGTAAACCAAAACTCCAGAGGCCTAGATTATCAGTTATTAATCTGAGATTAGGTCCCACAACGAATGATTTAAATTATAAAAAAGGCCGGGCCGAGCCAAAGCAAATTCGAAAAAGCTTCGGACCGAGCCAAAAAATTAGGCTCTAACCGTCCCCTTTACTGTTCTAAACATAATATCTTATACTTGAAGTAAGCTTTATTAGAATTGTACTTTTTTGTCTACCGTAATCTTTAAACATGACATAATAATTTTTTTCAGTTTTTGATAGTGACATTCGAAATTGTATTGAAAACTATATTATACTGCTGTTTTGACACCGCCGACTCATTCGAAATTCGATTTGAAAAAGGGATTACATTGTCAAGATCACCCAGATTCTTTTTGTTTGGCTACTGCGCCTTGTATTCTTCACTATTCTTGGGAGTTATAGTAAGTTACCCTACCCTTGCCTTGCCTTGCCAGATTAAAAAATCACTTTTCGAACTTCCCGCCAAATTGGCATTGTGTTTCAAGCTTATAGCTTTGTCATTTTTTGACTTTTTAATAATTTTTCTTTGATGTACTAATAGAAAACCTGTTATGAGCCAACGTTTTTAAATTTGTAAGCGTGGCTTGTCTGGAAAGTTGAAAAAAGGTCTTGCAACGCTATGCTAAATTTGCCAATTTGGCGGGAAATTCAAATATTTAATTTTCAAAACCTAAGACCGCAAGCTAAGATCTTTTATGTGTACTATTGGTGGTATAAAGAATTCATATAAAAATTTTGATCTGATTCTGAGAGTTGCAGGTGGGGCACTTTCCTTGTTAGCTTGGCTTAGCTTGGCTTACCATGCCCGGTTCTGTTCTGTCTTTTCCCTCCTTGACCTGTCTTGGCCTGCACTAATCTCATGCCGTGCCTTGCTTCGCTTTGCCTTGCTTTACCCTGACCTGTTCTCCTCTACTCTACTTTACTTTACCTCATATTTACATTACCTAGTCTAAACTTATCTTTTAGCTCCTAAAATACACCAAACGTTATGTAAAACAACTTCGATTGGCGAGCGAAAGTTTGACTGAAAGTTTTGAGCTGAGCCAGACTAAAAGTATCGTCAGGCTAATATCCAGCTTGTTATTGTTGTACATTGGTTGTTGTTTATTGTGTTTACCCACTGGAATCTTAACCTTTTACATTTCATTTTTTGAATATATGTCCATATGGGACACGGTATATGATACTATGGTTAAGGTGAGTTTAAGATTTTTAAACATACAATAGCAAGAACTTTCTTTACAAAACAACAAATGGCAAGAACTTTCTTTACAAAACAACAAATGACAAGAATTTTCTTTACAAAACATATAATGGCAAGAACTTTCTTTACAAAACATAAAATGGCAAGAACTTTCTTTACAAAACATAAAATGGCAAGAACTTTCTTTACAAAACATAAAATGACAGAAACTTTCTTTACAAGCCCTACAAACAATATTTTTAGACAAACTACTTTATCTTGTCCTGTTACACCTTATCTTCAGTAATTTACGCATTCCATCGATTCGGCGTGATACGAAACCGACACGTATCAGTTACGATTGATGAAGTCGTCGATGAACAAAAGCTTCATTTTGACTATTTGGCCGATTCATGGGCTTCTGTAAAACATAAAAAGAGCTTGCCGTAGTCTAGCTGATGGGAAGAGCTTGCCATAGTCCACTTGTTGTTTAGTAAGAACGTTTTAGTTATGAAAGGATTTTGTTTGAAAATAAAGTTGAAAAGTCCTACGCCTGAGGGTCGTAACCAAAGAAGTTGAAGTAGAAGAAACTCGTCTGGCAAAGCCAGCTAGCAAAAACGTTGGATTTGGTTTACTGTGTATATACCGTATATGGTGGTAGCTATCTCATTGTATATACAATGGCCTTAAAAGAAACAGCTATACTCAGCTCCGGACCAAAGCAAGCCAAAAAAATTTGAAACGAGCCGGGCCGGGTTATGCAAAGCTGAGGACTAGGCTTATAAGGTAAGTACTCAATTTGCTTCTCTAACAAAGAAAGTACTCAACCTGTCCCGCTCAGAATTAGCTCAAACTTTTTATATGGGCTCTTTGTACCACTAATAATACCCATAAAAAATTTTAGCTCGCACTGTTGAGTTTTAAATTTTATACATTTTTGTTACTCGTCAATTTTTTTTGAAGAAAGGCGCATAATAACTTGAACAAGCTTAATATAGGTTGTTCACTTAATTCTGCGCTCCCTCTGAATGCAAATTTTTGAGGTAAAGAGGCGCAGAATTATGTGAACAACCTAATATAAAATGTTTGAAGTCAATCAGAGCGGGACAAGTCGGGCACTTTCATTGTTAAATTAAATTTTAAAAATTTTGAAAAAATTCGAAAAAATTAAATTTTCAATGTTTTTTGAAATACAATTCATGTTGTCATTTCATCACGAGCCGTTTGTCTCGACTGGTCGACAAAACCTGCAAGGTTGTCAAGATGCTGGAGAAGAGTCTTCGTGACGATTCGTCGGATTCTGGGCGTGGATTCTCGAATCAGATCACCTTCAAAGCCACGTCGAAGACTCCACATTGGCGTGTTGAAGATAACAACCACAAGGTGCATAAGCCGACTGCGCCAGCCGGCTCCATCAAGGTGTACATCAGGGTTCGGTTCCGGTATGATGAGGTAGGTTTTTTTACTTTGAAAAAAAAGTTCTTGCCATTTTTTGTTTTGTAAAGAAAGTTCTTGCCGTTATATGTTTTGTAAAAAAAGTTTTTGCCATTTTGTGTTTTGTAAAAAAAGTTCTTGCTATTTCTTAGCTTGTAAAGAAAGTTATTGCAATTTTGTGTTTTGTAAAGAAAGTTCTTGCCATTTTTCTTTGACCTTTTAAATAGTTTGCTCAATTCAGATCCGCTATTGCAAGTTCTTATACAACAAGGCAGCCGACACGCCAAAACCGACCGACCTCAACCATCTGGACGAGCTCGCGAAGGCCAAGATCCTGAAGGACAACGAGCTGATGATTCTCCGCTATGCACTGGGTCAGGTTCTTGAAGGCAAATGCACTTTCGATAGCATCAACGAGAAGATTGACGGCGCCAAGAAAGAGGGAAACACCATCGTTCTGACAGTACCAACCGGCCTGGTACCGCCTACTGGAGCACCGGAAAACTTGAACGGATGCGCTCAGATCATCCTCATTGGAGATTGAGGGTTTACTCGGTTTGCGTGACTTGACTTGACATTGAAATAAACTGATGACTACAAGTTTGATCACTATTTGTTTTAGGTTTTTTTGTTCTTAACCCTGCCTTTTTATCTTTTTAAGGGTAGAGTAGGATAGGATAAGAGAGCAAGGTAAGTGACGTCAAGGCAAAGCAAGAAGGGCAAGACAAGTCAGGGTATGGAGAGTTAAAGTAAGGAAATTAAGGGTTGAAATGGGAGGAGGGGGGGGAAGGAGAAGAGGGGTTAGAGTAAGGTAGGGTACATCACAGCAAGCCAAAATCAGGACAAAACAAGCCAGGCAAAGGCAGGACAAACGCAGGGCAAACGCAGGACAAAGGCAAGGCAAGAAATTGCAGGTAAGGGCAGAATAAAATAAAAATTTTTTCAAATTGAAATTCTTTAAAAGTTTTCCAACTCTGAAGAAACCTTTAAAAAATTCGATCAGCTGATGTTATCATTCACATATTACACAACAATGTACAGTCTCAGTTCTGCGAGTAAACCATCGCCTTTTCGGCGCCGGAAACGAGATTTTGTCACGCGACAGAAACCCGTTCGTGAAGCGACATAGCGAGTGGCAAAACTCCGAGAATTGTTCCAAAAAACACCTCAAACAATGTTCGGTCGACTTCTTTTTGCTGTCGTAAGTTGTTTTGATTGTTTTTTTTTATTTTTAAAAATTTTTTAAAAATGTCATTTATATTATCATTGATAAGTTACAATTTTTTTAAAATTTAGTGGCTGGCCCAGCTGGTATCAGCTCAAGAAGGTGGTGAAGGCAGAGAGTTTTGTATCGACCGGTTCTGTCCACAAGGAACCTTTTGTGAACCAAGGTTTGTGGTAAAATGTGCCAGAGAACCGTGTAAACCTTTGTTAATGTGCCTACCAATCAGTGAGAATGGTAATGTAACCTTAGCTTTAGCTTTAGTTCTAACTGTAGCCCAGAGCTCTAGCCCAGAGCCCCAGCTTAGAGCCTAGAGCCTAGCCCAGATATGAAGAACAAGCCGAACCTGAAAATCAAGATCCGGCCCAAATATCCCCGCCCGTTTGCACGTAAAAAATTTGAGCTGGGCCGGCCCGGCGAAAAATTTAGATCGGCCCGGACCTGAAGAGCCGAAGAAGAGCCTTAACTCTAGCCCTAGCTTTAGCCGAGCCCTTGCCTATTGTCATTTTTGTTTTTCTTTATTTTTACAATTTTAGGTTGTGCAAAGAAGACATGTCCAGATGGGACAGTTTGTGTCGAGCGGGTAATACCTTGTATTTCACAAAATTGTGCCAAGAAAGCAACTTGTGCCAGGCCTGGAAGTAAGTTTACCGTTTTAATATACTATAATATATTAAAAAATTTTTTAATTTAATGAAATTTTTTGAATTTAAGTGGAGTATATTTAAAAACAATGCTATCTTTAAATAATTTTTTCGTATTTTACCTTTTGTTTTAGCTTGTGAAGCCTTAGTATGTCCTCCATCACACCACTGTGAATTGAATTCGAATGGTGTTCCCACTTGCGAACGAGGTCTTTTCAAAGCCAAAGATGTTCAGGTTGCCCTATCACAACTTCAGAAAACTGAACAACAAACTGTACGATAAATAAATATTGTGTATGAGCGAAAGTAAATTTTTGATTTTTTTAAATTTTTTTTGTAAAATACGGGATTTCGTTAAATAATTGTCAACTTTAAAATTTTTTTAAATTTAATAAATGAGATAAGGTAGGGCTGGCGCAAGATAGAGTAGGGCAAGATAGAGTAAGATAAAGCAGTGCTCTTAAAAACAAAACAATTTGAATAATCAAACAAAACAATTTTTTGTTCATAATGATTTGAATAAAGAAACAAAACAATTTTTTATTTGGCAAAATTGTTTGATTTGTTCAAAATTGTGTGTAATTCTTATTGTAAAAATAGCTTTCTCCGAGTTTTACCGATGTTTACTTTGGAGAGGTACTTTGATGTTGTAACCCTAAATAGTACGGAAAACTAAGTTTGTAAACACTGCTAACAATTCTTACGTTTGCAAAAAAAACAAGTCTACAAGTCCCAAATTATACCATCTACGAACTCGACATCCCGATTTGTACGAAGAATACTCAACCCTAAAAAGGCCAGCGACTCAACTTTTTTTTTGTATCAACAGAGCCTACTATTAAAACGTACAAACAATTACGTTCATAATTGGAACGACGACATATTTCCAGAACACCAAGATGACTTAGAAACATAGTTTTTTTACGTTATAGAAAATCATTTTTAATTGTTTATGTTTTTCGGTTTTTAGGGATAATCAAAAAAGTAAAATTGTTCACTATTGTTTGAAATTCATTTTCAACAAAAATTGTTTGACTTTTCGGCGTTATTTGAGCCGGTTATTCAAATTTTTAACAGCACTGAGATAAAGTAAGATAGGCTAAGGTAGAGAAAGATAGGGCGACGTAGAGCAGAGTATAGTAGGGCAAACCGAAGTGACGCAGGGCAGGAAAAAGCAAGGAAAGGCAAGGCAAAGCAAGGCAAGGCAAGGCAAGGCAAGGCAAGGCAAGGCAAGGCAAGGCAAGGCAAGGCAAGGCAGTATATTTAAAAACAAATTGCCAAATCTAATATATAAATTATTTATGGTTTAACCGAGATGTACAATCAAGAGGATGTTAAGTAGAAACCCGTTCAAGTTAAAATGGCAACAAATTTGGTATTAACAGAAGCGGCAGGTCCGGCGACAGAACGTCTGCATATAAGTTGAAGTGCGACAGAAGTTGACCCACTGGGTACAACGGTTGCTTTGATCTTGGTCTCGGCAGACTTGGGCTGAAATTTAAAGAAATGTGTTTTTAGGTATGAAATTTCAAATTTTAAAGAATTTTTTGTTCTGTAAAGAAAGTTCTTGCCGTTTTATGTTTTGTAAAGAAAGTTCTTGCAATTTTCTGTTTTGTAAAGAAAGTTCTTGCCATTTCATGTTTTGTAAAGAAAGTTCTTGCTATTTTTGTTCTGTAAGAAAGTTCTTGCAATTTTTTAGTTTGTAAAGAAAGTTTTTGCTATTTTTTAAATCTTTTGATTGGTGAGGATATTTTACTTACCAGGAGCAATGTTGGACTGGCTGTTTGGACTGATATGGCTCAAACGTTGTTGGTTGACAACCGGTTGTCTGATTGGCTGGGCCTGAAATAATTTTAAAATTACTGTAGGTAAACGTTACTATATTTGAATTCAAAGTGCCTTTCTACTGCCTTTATAAAGACTTAAAGTAAGGCTCAGGCTATGGCTAATGTAGTACTCAAATAGTACCGTAAATAGTACTAAAGCCAAAACTCACAGTAGTGAAGATTCTTGGCTGCACAACTGGAGATGGTCGTGCTGTGAAGGGGGCTGGACTAATGGCTGGTGGTGGTTGTCTTACAATCGGAGCTGGGGTGGTTGGAGGAGGTGGTAGAGGAGCCACACGAGCTGGGGCTGGGCGGAAGAACTGAAAATATTTAAATAAGTACAAACTAGGGAGGGAGGGAGGGAGGGAGGGAGGGAGGGAGGGAGGGAGGGAGGGAGGGAGGGAGGGAGGGAGGGAGGGAGGGAGGGAGGGAGGGAGGGAGGGAGGGAGGGAGGGAGGGAGGGAGGGAGGGAGGGAGGGAGGGAGGGAGGGAGGGAGGGAGGGAGGGAGGGAGGGAGGGAGGGAGGGAGGGAGGGAGGGAGGGAGGGAGGGAGGGAGGGAGGGAGGGAGGGAGGGAGGGAGGGAGGGAGGGAGGGAGGGAGGGAGGGAGGGAGGGAGGGAGGGAGGGAGGGAGGGAGGGAGGGAGGGAGGGAGGGAGGGAGGGAGGGAGGGAGGGAGGGAGGGAGGGAGGGAGGGAGGGAGGGAGGGAGGGAGGGAGGGAGGGAGGGAGGGAGGGAGGGAGGGAGGGAGGGAGGGAGGGAGGGAGGGAGGGAGGGAGGGAGGGAGGGAGGGAGGGAGGGAGGGAGGGAGGGAGGGAGGGAGGGAGGGAGGGAGGGAGGGAGGGAGGGAGGGAGGGAGGGAGGGAGGGAGGGGAGGGAGGGAGGGAGGGAGGGAGGGAGGGAGGGAGGGAGGGAGGGAGGGAGGGAGGGAGGGAGGGGGGAGGGAGGGAGGGAGGGAGGGAGGGAGGGAGGGAGGGAGGGAGGGAGGGAGGGAGGGAGGGAGGGAGGGAGGGAGGGAGGGAGGGAGGGAGGGAGGGAGGGAGGGAGGGAGGGAGGGAGGGAGGAAGGAAGGAGGGAGGGGGGTAAAAAGACGGCTTTGGGCTAAGGCTTGGGGCTAGAACCAGTGCTGGAGCTAAAGCTATGGCTCTGGGCTAGGGTCTGGGCTAGGGGTCTGGGCTAGGGCTCTGGGCTAGGGCTCTGGGCTAGGTCTCAGGGCTAGGAGTCTGGGCTAGGGCTCTGGGCTAGGGCTCTGGGCTAGGTCTCAGGGCTAGGGCTCTAGGCTAAGACTTGGGGCTAGAGCTCTGGGCTAGGGCTCTGGACTAGGGTTCTGTGCTGGGGCTAGAATAACTCACATTCTGGTTAGATAGCGACCGTTCCAAGAACGATGTATCGCCTTGGTTGAACATGTGGAAGGTTTGAATTTTGAATTGTCCAGCTGCTGGTGGTTGAGTGACAGCTGGTGGTTGATAAAAGGCGACCTCCTTCTCAACACGACAAGGTGGTAATGGTGCTGATAGGACAGATTTCACCCAAAATTGCTTTAACGATACTACTACTGTTGCACTGAAAATAAAAATTTTCAAATTTTAAAAATTAAAATTTTTTTAAAATTTATAAAAGTAGACCTTATCGTCGTATTTTACACTCACACGAACTGAACATAACTCTCATCGTCCTCGTCGTTCTTCCACCACAACATCATCTTCTTCTTCTTTTCGTCGTGACTGTGCGTTACAGAATCCTTGTTCTTGAAGCATTGCTGTCGCCAACTGCCATTGTTATCCAAGCGCAAGAATTGACCAATCCTAGAAATTTTAGTTTATAAAGCTTCAATTGTTGTATGAAGACTTATAGGCCAGAGTTAAAGCTAAGGCTAAAAAGCTTAAACTAGACTAACTTTAAAACTAAGGTTATAACTAAAGCTGGCTATGACTGGCTACAGCCGATTAAAACAAACGCTAAAGCTAAGGTTGGCTAAGACTGGCTAAGGCCGACTAAGACTTGCATTGGCTGACTAAGACTGGTTACAGCAAGTTAAAGCATGGATCAGGCTGTCTTTGGCTGACTAAGGCTGACTAAAGCTGGCTAAGGCTTACGCTAATGTTGGCTTAAACTGGCTATGACGGGCTACCGCAGACCAGAGCTAGCTAAAGCTAGCTAAGGCTAGCTAAGGTAAATTGAGACAGCTTAAGGCTGACTAAGGCTGACTATAGCTAACTACGCCTGCTAAAGTTGACTAATGTTTACTTTGGCTAGTTAAGGCAGGCAAAAACTGGCTAGAGACTTGTTAAAGCTGGCCAAGGCTAGCCAAGACTGAGTAAAGATGGCCAAGATCTAGCCCAAGCTCAAGCTTAGGTTTTGGTTCAAGCTCAAGCTTAGGTCGGGCCCAAGCTGAAGTTCAGGTTCTGGTTCAAGCTCAAGCTCAGGTTTTGGCCCAAGCCCAGCTCAGGTTCTGGTTCAAGCTTAAGCTCAAGCCCGGGCTAAAGCACTTACCGTCTTCCAGCTTTTGATCCCTTCCAGACGAACGGTTGGATCGCAAATCCTTTGAATTCTTCTGTTGTGTTTCCTCGTAGAGTTACTGAAACATATCATAGATTATATTGTTCTTCTATGTCGAGAAACCGTATTTTACAATTTTGAAAAAAAATTTTACAAGTTTAAAAAAACATTTGAAAATTTAAAATTTGGTGAAATCAAAAGGATGGCCGTATTTTACAAAAGAAAAGTTTTAGAAAACTCACTCTGAACCGGTTGATTTCTCCAATAACACTTTTGCTCCGTGTCTATTGTGAACGGTGGCGGGGAGAGCTAAAACATAACAAATAAGTTTAGTACACAATACATTTATCCCCATCTTTTGTATATAATGAGCACTTCTGTAACGAAGATATTGTATAATAGACTTGAAAGAAAGCCCGCCAGACCAGCCTAAGGGTATGAAACTCGCCGAGACCTCTTTTGAGGCCCGACCTGTTTTCATTTTTACCTATAGCTCTAGCTCTAGTAATCAGGCCGACTTGACCCGGTAAAAATTTTTTACGTGCGGATTTTTTCGGGCCGGGCTTAAAAATTTGGATTGGCTCACGGATCGAGCCAGGTCGGACCTAGAATATTTTATACGGTGCGCCTGAAAGGCGGGCCCGACCCGCGGGTTAAATTAGGCAAAACCTACATTTTTTTGGACAAGGCTGAGCCGGTTTGAGAAAAAATGTAAAAAAGCCGGGTCCAAACGTTGGGCTTTGAGCTTGGACCAGGCTTCAAACGTGGGTTTGGCTTGAGAGTTGAGCCAGGCCGGGCCTAGAATTTTTCTGACCAGACCGGCCCAAGCAAAAGAAAATAAAAACTGACCGAGCTTAAACGTTGGGGTTTGGGCCTAGGTTGGACTTCAAAAATAAGCCCGTCCGCCAATTTTAACCCTCCCCCCCCACCCCCACCTTAATTAATAAGTGCCAATACTTCTTAACGCCAAAATTTTTAAATTTCAAAAATTACGATTTTTGATCATTTTTAAACTATATTTTAAGCTTTTCCTCACCTGAAGTCCGCCCTGATGTTCCACTGCCTCTAATGGATTCATGCTTTCGAAGGCGGCATGAATACAAGGGGCTCCATCTGGCCACGCCAATATCTCATTGGCTAGAATTGTGACCAGAAGGAAGGCACGGTATGACATCTACAAATTATTTTTTGTTTGTGAATATATTTTAATGACATCAATATGCTTTATTCTCAGTCAGTATGCACGTATTTTACAAAAAAAATTTAAAAAATCATTAAAAAATTTTATCGACCGGTCGATAAAATTCATATTTTAATTTTTTAATATTAAAATGTTTATCTGCCTGTCCTGCGGCAGTATTTTTGTAAAAAAATTAAATTTTGTAAAATCGACCGGTCGATAAAATTATTTTTAAAAAATTGTCAAAAAAACGGTCGAAAAGTTTATAGAAATAACAGAAGTCAACAAAAAATTTTTAAACTTTATTTTCTACTTACTTTATGACCTCAAAGACCTATTTTTTCGTATTTTATTACCTAAAAACACCTAAAATCTACCTAAAATAACAAAAATTAGTGTAAAAAGCCCTTAGGCTATAAATTTTATAACAACAGCATGAAAAATCAAAAGTTAGTCAAAAATGTTACAAAATTTCCTCAATTGTAATATAAATGCGGTCGACTTCCGCGTAAGCCATAAACATTTGTAGCAATCTACACGATCGTTCCCACTCACAGTTCAACCGCAATTACTTTTGATTTTTCAAAGAATTTCCGACCTTGAGATCCAAAAACCAACAAAAAACTTAAAAAACTTGATTGTTAGGCTAAAGGTAATTACAACAGAACGACGAGAGATATATTGCTTTATAAAAAACATTTTTAGAAGGGTTACGGTTAAGTAAAACTACAACATAAACATTAGCGAGGCTAAAAAAGACAAAACATACAAATTAGCTAGGCCGAGTAAAGCTACAAAATAGACATTGGCTAGGCCAAATAACGCTATATTATAAAAATAGGCTAGGCTCATAAAAAAATAAAGGAAGTAGGATAGACTAGAATTGCGTTAGGGCTAGGACTTAAGTTAGATAGTGCAGTACTACAACAACAGATGTACGAATAAGTTTAGAGGTAACTTATAGCTAGAGCTAGAGCTAGGTTACGGCGGTGAGTCTCACGATAAGCTAAGTTAAGGTTATAGGTGCAGCAAGACTAAGCTAAACAGAGATAATCTAGGAAAAGGTTTGGTTTAGGGTCAGGGCCACCGCTAAGGCTATAACGCCTTTCGGTACAGCTTATTGTAGCTTTTTTCAAGGGTTGTTTCTAAAAAACTAAGATTAGACTCAGAACCGGGCAGGGATTTTTGGTCTGGGGAGTAGCTTCCTGTGGCGATTTTTTGCAAAATTTGTTTTCCAAAAATCCACAGGGGGACCACGTTCAATGTTTTTCGAAATTTTTTTAATGTCCTTCCCCCGCGCCAGGCCTTGATTAGACCCCAACGTACCTTACCCTCAAAACTTTTCGCAAATTTCTATCAAACTAAAAAAAAAACAAAAAACAAATAAAAGTTTTGAAAAAAAATTTTTGAATTTCTCTATTTCTTCCTCAACCCATAAATTTTTTTTTCAAAAAATTACCTTAACTTCTCCAAACCCCATTAAGCAAATAAAAAACCTCACTCAAACCCGTGCCTTTAACACCTTATAAGAATTACGAAAGCAAGGCAGAACGTTGTAACTGGCGTTCGATTACACTCAACTGACCTTTACAACGAATTTCCTTCAAACCCTGTTTCTTTTCCTTGTCCTCCACCCATCTTACACCATCGCCCTGCTCTTCTTTACTCAAAAAAATCTCTTTCTACCCTTAGGTTTTTTATATAAAATTTTTTTATCCTACCTTCTTCCTCTTTTCTATAAAGTCTTACCTACACACAGGGCCAGGCGAGAACTTTTGGTCTGGAGGCGGGGGTCGAAAAAATCTACAGGGGGGACCACGTCCAGCTTTTCTAAAAATTTTTTTTCTGGGGAGAGGGAGGGGGTTCCTTACCCCACTCTTACTCGAATTACTCCGCCAGCAAAACTTACCCTACACTATCCTGTGTTGTCCTATCCTACCTTATCCTATCTTACCCTGCCCCAACAACAAACGCCCCCCCCCCCGCAATCATATTACCCCTGCCAGCAAAACAACCTCCTCTTAGCCTACATATTGTTAGAACAACAGTAAAAGTGGTGGTAACACTGAACCGAGTCTCCTCACCTTGTCTCCCCCACACTTAAAATAAGACAATGCCGAGTTACTTGTTTCAAGGCGTATTTGTAAAATTTCGCGCGAGTTTAAAAGTGGGCGCGGGAAAAACGTCAAAGTATTCGAAATAACGAAAAAAAACCGACGGTAAATATATTGAGGAACGGGTTGCGGAAGGCTTTAATAACCAAAACTGGAATCAAGTAGTACAGTCGAATTCTAGTGACGAATATTACAACTTGGTCTTAAGTAGTCGTCCGTTTATACAACTTGATTTTTGGAGTTATGGCGGTCATGATATTACAAGTTGGGTCATAGTAACATAATATTGTTACAGCGTGAGTTATAATAACTTCCCTTTACTGAAAATAGCTTTAAAGTTAACTCCATCTTATCTTAAACTACCCTACCCTACCCATCCTACCCTACCCTACCCTACCCTACCCTACCCTACCCTACCCATCCTACCTTACCCTACCCTACCCTACCCTATCCTACCCTACCCTACCCTACCCTACCCTACCCTACCCTACCCTACCCTACCCTACCCTACCCTACCCTACCCTACCCATCCTACCCTACCCTACCCTACCCTACCCTACCCTACCCTATCTTACCCTACCCTACCCTACCCTACCCATCCTACCCTACCCTACCCTACCCTACCCTACCCTACCCTACCCTACCCTACCCTACCCTACCCATCCTACCCTACCCTACCCTACCCTACCGTATAACCTAATCAATGTTTTGAAGCAACAACATATGATATTAATCGACCAAAAGGTCAGACACCCCCACGTATCAACAGACAGAACACATGTATCTATAACACACCTATAACAATATTTCATACCTCGTCATGTTATTATGAAAATAATAACTGGAAAAAGAAGTCGCTGAAGGTCATAACTTGACATTAACGGTCGCGGAAGAAACAAAAAACTCAAAAAATGACTTCAACGTGAGCTAACAAACGTCAAATATGGGTTATGGAATGGTGATCAATGACATAAAATAAGGTGATGACATATTGAAAATTTAAAATATTTTGAAAAAAAAGTTTGACATTTTTGTTTTGTAAAGAAAGTTCTTGCCATTTTTTATTTTGTAAAGAAAGTTCTTGCATTTTTTGTTTTGTAAAGAAAGTTCTTGCCATTTTTTATTTTGTAAAGAAAGTTCTTGCCATCTTTTTTGTAAAGAAAGTTCTTGTCATTTTTGTTTTGTAAAGAAAGTTCATGCCAATTTATAACAAAAATATTTTTCAATTTCAAAGCAACTTCCCAGTAAAATCTATAAATATAAGCTACAGTGGCGCTCAAAAAAACGGGCACTTCAAACTTTAGTCGATAAATGAAAATTTTTGTCATAATATTGCATATATTGGGTTCCATTATAGTTGTACGATAATTTTAATTCATTTTATGCAAAAAAATTGCGTTAGTTGCAAGTTGCAACTTTTGGCAACGCGAAGTTTCAATCCAAGGTGTCCAAAAAAAAGGGCAGGTATAACAACATCCTATTTTCGCACCAACCATGTAATTTAAAGGAACAAAAACAGTTTCTAAATACTAAATAGCATCTAGTAATTAGTTGCACAACATTTAGAACAACAATGCTAATCCTTTTTGTGGGTACCTAGGTGATCAGCTTATTGACCATGATAATGGGTGAGTTTGAGCATTTACCTGTCAGACTTGACATAAGTTCACTTTCACTTACTGGAATTGTTTTTTAACTTTGCTTACAATCATTTACAATACATTTATGGTCGGGTTTAGTTTGCAAATTGACTTGGCCACTCAAGTTCCATGGTCTTCTCCTTCAGTATCACCGCTCTTCTAACTTCGGAAGTGTGCTGCAAATCGTAGTCGCTTTGAAATATGACACTTTTACATTTTTACAATCAACAATAAGCTAAAGTAAGGTTTTGTAAAGTATCACGATATTTGGACTCATCTCTAATTTTTCCGGTTTGATGCAACACACCGATATTGTTATAGGCAAAGCATCTCAAACCATAATGCTTCTACAGCGCTTCACAGTTAAGCTAAAAATTTGTGGGTTGTTTTCTTTGATAAAGCGTCTTTTAACGTAGCTTTTACTACTAGACACTTCTACATAAAATTTTATTTCATTTGCTACAATCACTTTTATTGATCGTCCATTATCTAAAACAGTAGAACTCGTAGAAATTCAAACTAAACTTTTTTGTTTTTAACTATACTTACCGATTTTTTGGTTTATATACAACTCAAAAGTCTCTTTTCAACACATCTACCTTCGATTGGTTGTTTTTTAACCCTTTAGCCAGATTCAGCCCCAACTTCTTCTTTGATCAATATTGTAGTAGTCGACGAATCGTTCTTCTACCATATTATACTTGCGTTATTGCCTCTAATGGTCGTTTTTTAAGATCTTCTACATCTCAATAATTTTCTGCGCATTCAACCTCTGAATTTTGACAAAAAATTGTGTTCTAGAGGTTGGTTACTACACATAGGGTATAACGTGTTTATCATCATACGATGCCTTCTTTATCAACTGAATAGGCCCGTGCATACCTATTATACTTTCGTAACTACTAAAGTAATATAAATATATAAAAAACATTCAGAATCTACAAGTAAAAGCTAAGAAGTATTTTTTTCTTACACATGTCCATTTTTTTTGGACACCTTGGATTGAAACTTCGCGTTGCCAAAAGTTGCAACTTGCAACTAACGCAATTTTTTTGCATAAAATGAATTAAAATTATCGTACAACTATAATGGAACCCAATATATGCAATATTATTACAAAAATTTTCATTTATCGACTAAAGTTTGAAGTGCCCGTTTTTTTTGAGCGCCACTGTAAATACTAGGCCTGTAAAAGAAACAAACCCAATTTTTCTGCTGGGCCTCTTACATAGAGATTTAG